GAAGCAGAGGGTGATTATAATAACGTCTTAGAGGAATTGACGCATCGCGGAGAAAATCCGCAAAGGGGCCGCGTCACCTTCCGCATTCGATACCAAGGCAGAATTTGATTTTCGGGGTGTGTGATTTACTCGGGAAAGTCACGCACATCGTTTCCAAGAAATTAGAGACATTTTTAACCACCCTGCTAGCAAATCGCATCTTACTTATTTCATAATGATTTGTTGAAGTCGTGAGAAGCAGTGATGAGGTAGTTTAGAAAAACACCGTTTTCATATTTTTGCCGAGTTTCGAACTCTATTCGGGTCATCTTCAGGACATAATGTGTGGTGCTATTCTTGTGAACTCACAACACTTTCACACAAAACCAATATGGCGCCACAAGAATGGCACCACACTTTATACCCTGAAGATGACCCGAATCAAGGTCGAAACGTCGGCAAAAAAATGAAAAAGGTGTTTTTCTAAACTACCTCATTCTTGGACGCTCCTCACGACTTCAACTAATTATGAAACAACAGGTCACTCAGAAACACTTATTTCATAATCTTAAATCCCACTGAAGTCCTACTATAAGTCAAACTGTGTCCATCCGATTATCAGGCTTTACTTCATGGTTTTATTTCTATGAACAAATTTGAAACGCCAAAATTCATCAACCATTTTGTTCGTAAGACAATTCATTTTTTAAAAATAAACAACAATAGAATATTTCATTCTAGTGAAATACAAGTTTTGATTATTTGAGAGTATTGAAGACTAATAGTTTTTATTGTACGAAAGTAAGCAATTACGATACTTGAAAAGTCGAGAAAGACTCAAATTATGTATTGGCACATAAACAGAAACAATTACATCCAACCTCACAAATTAATTTAACAAAAATGCTAGTCTTGATCGTTTAGTAAATCTAAAATGAATGCGTTAGTAACCGTATGACCTATGCTGTTGCAAACCCTGGAGAAAAAAAATTAAAAATTAACTTGTAATTTAATAAATTTGTCTTTGTTTCGTTCGGAAAAATGAAAAAGAAAATCATTGAGTACTGAAAAGTAATTGTATACCGGAACACACCCCAGGGTGGTGCTCTTCTCAAAGGTAAAAGTCATTGCGTGTTCTAGGACAATTTTTTCTCTTCATGGGTTATGACTTTCTCTGCGCAACCGTTGCCTTTATTTACCATTTCATCGGTTAATACAAGATTATTGAATTTTTTTCGCTGGGAATCCCTTGTAGATATAATAGTTATAATACAATTACAAGAACAAGCTAACGTTTCAAGTTGTCAGGACTGTAGGCAGATACAATGTGCTTCATGCCTTGCATTTTATTCATCTGAAGAAAAAATGTTACAGCGTAACGTTCATTTATTTTTTTTTTTTAAACCCTTTCCACCACCCCGCCGTACCTGAGGAAGACCCCATACCGGCGGTCAAACGCTTTAGCTTAATCGAATTTGTATATCTAAGGGATTTCAAATAAATAGGATAAAAATACCTCCCAACGATCTTTCCTTCAGGCGGGACCGTTGGTCGGTTTTTGAAGGGACCATATTTTCATTTTAGAACCTAAAACAAAAGGTCTTCCCTTGCTGGTTTTCCCTTACACATTTACTTTTCCTTGGTTTTATTTTCTATCTATATTATCTAAAATTTTCTTATTAAGAAGAGGAAAACAGCCCGGAACCCTAAACCTAAACCTATGTTTAATTATGCAATAAATAAATAAATAACGGTAATAAAACTCTAACAATAATAACAATATTTAGGAGTTAATAATTAGAATAAATCATTACAATTAATTAAGGTTTTTAGTTGAGATGAAAAAAGTTAATGGCTCGAGCGGGATTCGAACCCACGATCTTCGGCTAGATACGCCGCTGCTCTACCACTTGAGCTATCGTGACCTCGATCCAATCGGACATCAACTTCCTATCTCAACCCCACTTTATGAGTTTTGAGTTGAGATAGGAAGTTGATGTCCGAGTGGATCGAGGTCACGATAGCTCAAGTGGTAGAGCAGCGGCGTATCTAGCCGAAGATCGTGGGTTCGAATCCCGCTCGTGCCATTAACTTTTTTTTATCTCAACTAAAAACCTTAATTAATTGTAACGATTTAATTGGTCAAGCGGACCACGAAATTAGTGAATTTAAAGAATTAGAATAAATAGGGACTTGTTCATTTAAGCGTATTTGAGGCAAAGTCTTTTAGTGCTCCAAAAGTTTTGATATCACCGACTCAATTAGAGTCGAGATTAGGCGGCCATTCTGCTGAGGTGATTGTCTTTCGCAAACGTTCTCTTTCTGCTATGAATTTGATACAGCTGAAGAGTTTATGTTCGGCGTCTTCTTCAGTGCTGCAAACGGAGCATAAAGGGCTTTCTCTTTTCTTATATTTATGAAGATAGCTTGCGAAGTTTCCATGTCGTGATAGCATTTGGGTGGTCCAGTAGTCGGAGTGTAGCCATTTTGCTTTTTGTCTTTTTTCAACGCTTGGGAAAAATTTGGATGTTAGCCGACCTTTATTGCTTTTTGTCCATATTTCTTGCCATGATGCCCTTGTCATTTTTCCCAAGTACTCTTTTGCCTCCTACCCCGTTGTGCTTCGGAACCAGTCTACTTCTCCTTGGCTTGCTCCTATATCAATCTCCTATAGCCTCATTTTTCTTTTTTTGGTGGATGACTACCCTTTCTTTAAGGACTAGGTCTATTGGCGGTGCGTAACGTATCACCCAGATTTTAGTATATCTTAACTTAAATTTTGCTAATCGCCCAGTCGAAATAACATTGTATTTACGTCTAAACTTAATCAAGAAATTATTCAGAAATCGTGAGGGTCAGAAATCTAAGTTTAATCAAGAAAATTTGACAATAAGGATATTTGATATTTACGAAATAAAACTATTTTAATTGTATTACTAATTCATTAGATTTCGTGGTCCGATTGACCAAATAAAATCTTTCAATTAATTAATCTTTATGTAAGATATTAGTTGAGTTAAAAAATTTGGTTGAAATGAAAAAACGAGCGGGATCCAAAGTGGTTAGAGTAGCAGCGTATTGAGCCAAAGGTCGTGGGTTCGGATACCTCTCGTGACACTAGCTTTTTCATTTCAACCAAAGCCTTTCATTAAGAGTAATTAATTAAAAGAAGCAATTTGGTCAATCAGACCACCAAACATAATGGATAAACTGTAAGGTGTATCTATACTCTCCGGCTATTCTGTAATGGATCTGAACTGGTTCTGATTGATATGAATGGATTGAAATGGATTTTAAAGAGGTGAACAGTAATCTAATATTGTTTTACGGTGGAAATATATAAAATTTTAAATATATCTAGACCATTGAAATGTTTTGTATGACGTGTAATAAATCTCAGGTTTCATTTGCTTTATCAACAGTTTTACTAATACGTATTAAAAGTTTATCTGTGCTAACTTTATTAAATTTTGTTTTTAACTGTTTGCAATTAATTGTGTTTCTTTATAGACGGTCATTACCATACTAATATAAAGTGGGAGATTTATGGGCCGGCAAACAGCTGAAGTCATCGCCGACTTTTGCATGTTTTTCTTCTTTTTCTGGTTTTTGCAGCCATTTGATCGACTATTTGCTTTAATATTTATACAACGTCGATAACCTAAAATGCTAGCTATTCGTTCGTACTTGCGGCTGTCAATTACGGAATATACATACATAAGTGTATATACATACCCGATATAAACATAGATTTCTGCATTCACTCCCCCAGAGTACTCGATATTCCTCGGAGCAGGGTTGAATCCACTCCATTCTCGCTAATAAGTTACTTTTGTTCTCTCGACGTCACACTCATCCCAGAGTACTCGATATTCCTCGGCCGAGGTTATCAATAATATCTGTTGTTACTGTAAATTGTTGAAATGATAAAGCATTATTATTTTATTCCAAAAAATTCATTATTAGAAAAGCATAGCATATCGTGGACTTAACAATACTACGAATGAGATTATTTGGAGATGGTGTGGTGCGGTCTGGTGTGACGTAGGTTTTAGAAAAAAACATTTTCTTTATCATGCCAACGTTTCGATCTTTACAATCAATTAAGGTTTTTATTTGAGATGAAAAAAAGTTAATGGCACGAGAGGGATTCGAACCCACGACCTTCGGCTAGATACGCCGCTGCTCTACCACCTGAGCTATCGTGACCTCGATCCACTCGGACATCAACTTCCTATCTCAACCCCACCTTATGAGTTTTCCCTCCTTTTGCCATTTTTCAAATGTCGTGTAATCGGTTTGGATTCTCGACGACAATTGAAATGGCGACGGAGAGCTTTAGTGAAGTGTACTTCATTTTAATTCATTAAATTCACTAATTTCGTGGTCCGCTTGACCAATTAAATCATTACAATTAATTAAGGTTTTTAGTTGAGATAAAAGTTGATGTCCGAGTGGATCGAGGTCACGATAGCTCAGGTGGTAGAGCAGCGGCGTATCTAGCCGAAGGTCGTGGGTTCGAATCCCTCTCGTGCCATTAACTTTTTTTCATCTCAACTAAAAACCTTAATTAATTGTAATGATTTAATTGGTCAAGCGGACCACGAAATTAGTGAATTTAAGTTTCGATCTTTACTGAGGTCATCTTCAGAGCTCAAAGGGTTTATTTTCCGTGTAGATGTGTCATTCTTGTGTGTCGTGTTGAGATTGCCCATCTTCTCATCGTTGGCCATGTCCTTCTACAGCTTATTTCACATTAGTTCTTAAGTTCTTTATTTTCCGGTCGACGAGTCTCGATGCATTTGGTCACTCTGTGCACTTACATTCAACAACGGTAATAACAGAACACCGTACCGCAAGGAAATGGGTGAGGGTCCAGGACTATGGAGATTGTAGGCCTTCCCCAACCCGCACTCCTTTTTGAGTTCCGTTTTGCACAAAGACTCGTCGACTGGGCTGTAAATGTATCGACTTATAAACTTGTACTGTTGTAATTAATTAGTATGTATTCTCGGTTTCAGCGATTGTTCCATCAGCACTCGGGTGGAGAGGATGCAGTCGCAGGCAGACGTCAATAGGCCGCTCTGACACAGGGAAGAGACTGTTGACAGCCATCTGATGGTAACGTCACAGTCTAGCGATCTCTAGCGTCGCAGAATGTGTTGCCGGTGAACGAAGAATCGATTGCGGAAACGGCCAGCATAAATAAAACGAGATATTTTCAATCGAAATATTTTTTATAACAAAAGTAACAAGAAGGAGGCAAGCAATATTGCAATAGCATCGTTTGTTAAATTTAAAATGACTGAACAGTTTTGAAAAGGATTTGGTCAATTGTTTTCAAAACGCTTTTGAAAGAAAACGATACTTCAAAAAACAAAGAATACAAGGAATTGATTGCATTTCACCGTTTTGAGAATTCAGGACTCAAAAAATTATATATATTGTATAAATAGAATAAATCGACATTTTAATACTTCCACTTTCACCGAATAATTTGTTATTTGACAAAAGAGCGAATTTTAGTTTATAAGCTGTTTCGACGTCGAATTCGATTTTGTTATTAACAGTCTTATATTGTTATATTAGTATTATACACCAACAATACCACTTGTGGAACTTTGTGTTAATTTGTTGCTTGCCAATTGAGAAGTTGGACCGGTTTGGCCAGCTTCCAGCACGTATTTTCTTCTCAGTTTAACGACCGTGCGTAAAGCACACTTCATTATCAGCCATAGCACTCCACAAAGTAATAAATGCTTGTAAAGGCTGATTACTATCTTTATATAGTGACTTTTAAATAAGACGTTTGGCCGAATATAGCACTGATCGCTATACACTCAATATCATCATGTAAAAGCTATTTTAAACATAAAACGTTTACCAATGAAAAAAGAATAGTTTTATAAAATATTGAATAATTTTTCTATCGATTGGGAAATTTTATACCGATAAGCAACTAAGGGTTAATTGCTTATTTATTAGCAATAGCTCGTGATGTGGATTCTCTCTTCCTCTATTTTTGCGAGGACTTGGCGGTACGTCATATGTGACGATAAAATCTATTTATTGTACATACACTTGTGTATGGTTGTATGTATATGGTGATTGTAACATTTTAAAACAAAAATGCTCTAATTTTGTAATTTCACCTATTTGTTTTTTAAAATTTCATTTCCACTGAACGATTTGATGTAAGAGATTTCCCAAGCCGTCGAGATTTGCCATGACGATTGTATGCAGGATTTTCTGTTTCATAGTCGCATAAACGTGCACGTTTTTATTAATCCTCCCCTCAATACATATCAAAAAAACAATTTTTTTAAATTCAAACAAATAATTTAAAAGTGAGAGGAAATTTTCATTCATACTCGAAAACACTGGAAAATTTATTTTTAAAGCTCAAGAACAAACTTCATACAGTCGCAAAAAACAAGAAAATTTGAAACAAATGGTTTATCATATGCTAAACAATCGTAATTAACCTAGGTTGATTTAATTATTATTTCTGAGAACTAGTACGTCAGATTAAACTCAATCATTAACTAAAGCTACTGGCAAATATGTTATTGGTCACAAAACCTAAAAAACAACAACAAAAAAACAACAATCATAAATAACAAACATTCAAAATATTATATCACTGCCCATTATTCGTAAAAATAATTTGTTTTATATCAATTAAAGTGTCCGTGTTGTAATGTATGGCTAGTAATATAAGGATGTTCAATATATATCGGGATATGTTTGTAAGTACAAAACATTGCTCAATAAATTTCAAGTCAGATGTGCATTTTCTACTATTCAAATACAACACGAACTCACACACATACATAAACATAAACACACACACACACAAGTACAACTATTTTCAGGCCGATTTACATATAGTGAAATCCTTATTTAGAGTGCATGCAGTGACTTTTACACCAGTGAGACAATAAATACGAAAACTTGAAGAAAAAAAGAAGAAATTACAACGTTATATAAAACAGAATATGATAAAATTTGGTACAAGGCGATAAATGAACACTCTAAAACTGTCACACTTTTTAAATAGTAACTGCTTCGAAACACACAAATATTAATTTCATAACGGCCTTCGATTTCAGTTTGTTCTAGAAAAACTGGAAATGTTTCCCTGTAATTTACTCAAGTCGAAAGAAGAGTTTTAACCCGGACGGCCTTCCAAGAAAGAACTTCCTGTTAAATTATTAATGCGTGGGTTAGAGAGATATGTTGTCGTTTGAACATTTAATCCTCCAAAGCTAGCATTATGTCAATTGCGGTTATGTAATTTTGCCCTTCTGAAATGGTTTTGTACTAAGTAGAACATTTTATTCAGAATGGTACCAATCAATCATTACTAGTAATTAAAATTATATCAGAAGTGTTATTTCGAGAAATATTTAACCAATTTTCTATATTTTAAAAAGAGTTAATCATATACAAAAAAAAATCAAACTTGTAAAATAGTATTCTGAATAAAGCTTTCATCCGAAAATTGAAACATCAGAGGTCATATCCCCGGGTTCCGATGTTTATGAAAAAAAAGCCATTTGTAAGTGCGTTGGGTTTGAATTCAGGGCCGGTGGGATTCGAAACCGGGATCCTTCAGTCGCCTTGTGAACCGCAGCGGCCCCCCTATATTTTTAAACTTTATTTTTTATCTTGGCAAAACTGTAATTGAATCAGATTTCGAGGAATTGCGTAGGCGACGATTGAAAATTTCATATCAAACCTATTTTATATAAACTGAAAAGAGAAAGAAATGCAAAAAAAAGGGACGTACGCAAATTTTCGAGATAAAACGGCAGGGACCAATGAAAGAATCGAGACAGGTTCAGACAGCGTTTTTGCAGTCCTAGCTTGGAGATAAGTAAAAGCAGCCTTACCAAATCAGCGTTTTCCTCCTTTCAAACAAAGAAAAATTCTTGACCTCGGGAAAAAACCGATAGCTTTGGAGGTTTTACAAATTATATTTTCAATCATCTCATTTTTACCTTTTTTTAAAATTATTACCTACTTTAAATGATTATTTTATACAAATATGAAAGAAGATAGGCTTAAATGTGCTTATTGGCTTAACAATTTCATATATATATTGATATGATAATGCATATTATATATTTTATACTAGGAATTGTATATAAATATGAAATATATATTATTACAGTACTTGATAGTATAAAAAACATGGTACATTCGTTAAAAGTTATGCGGTATGTATATGGTTTTTATTTTGGATTTGACAAGTGTACGAAATATTTTTAGATGAATGTACTGTGCACATGACAATATTATATGTTTATAGAATAAATAGCGCACTTAAATTGGACAAAATACATTTATAGAAAAAGTTATAAAGAAGAAAAATTAAGGGAATATTTTAAGAAATATTCTATTTTGTAATAAAACATAGTATGTATTTGAATTGTCTAAACCGTGGACAAAATATATTAAATTACGTATGTGAGTTACATGCAATGTTAAGAAAAAGAAATCAATGTTGTTCATTATGAGATGAAATGTGTAGCTCCAGATAGCCGAATAGTAGAAAAAATGTGACAACCTTGGGAAATACCGATTCGATGAACGATATTTTAAATAAATCTAGAGAAGTAATTGGACCTAGCAGACAATACATCTATTACAAAAAAAATCAACCCCTGTGTTATGCTAACACTTCGACACTCATACAATATTTATTAGGATTTGTGTAATGTTAAAACAATGTTTCGTTAGCATCAATCATGTACCATGTCAAATATATTAGAAACACATAAAATCAATAAAAAAGGCTGCTCTATTCCAGGCTTACGCCTCCAGAGTTGCGCTTGTGCACCATTTAGAAATATGTCATAGCACGGTCATTACGTACATCATTGTGTGCATTATGTACAACTTGAAGCTCCGACACACCAAACTTGATCGATCACTTGTATGTTATGGCAGTTTCATAGATCGTTTAGAAATGTTATAATTTTTGATCACTTCCTGGCATAAAAGGTCAACAAATTAAAACTTTTTTAAAAACGCCCCTACTCGACATTATTCATCGTCCTGAGTTAAAAATGCCTTTATCCCAGGAATCATTTTTTTGAAATCGAAACATGTCTTTCCTGTATTTCAAATAGGTTTTCAAGTACTCAGCTAGAAAAATATCGGTATTCTCAAGGTTCACATTTACTGGCATATATATGTAAATTATACGGGTTGTTATAGAATTTGTTAGTAAATTCTTGGAGTAGCGGTATTGACCATGTCGGTAGTTCGTAGTACTTACGCCCGGTCAAGGTAACTTTGAGTTTTGGACATAAATTAATTTATGTGTACGCCTGTAGGAAACAATACAGCTAACCATGAAATAAAATTTAAATTGATATTTAAATAATGAAATGGTGTTATGTTAATCTGTGCTTATATTATGGTTTTGGCGATCTCAGATATGTCATCCTCCCTCTAAAACGTATTGCTCAATTATATTTAAAAAATGGTTCATTTTTGAGTTTAATTAAATCAATTGGATGTTTGTTTTGAATAGCAATTTTATACATCACCGATAAATTTTTCATTGATTGTTCCTCTTTTGGAAATCACTTTTATAAAATTGGTATCACAAATTTGTCCATGCAAAGCTGTCCTTTAAAAAACAAAATTAAGAAGTAGAGCTTTCGACGTTCCTAGGGAGATTTTTTTTTAGCGAAAAAGTGGGTGGGTTTATGTAAGAATACGGTTCGATATTATTTCTGAATTGGCCTATTTTCTTATTGACAACGATTTTATACAACACAAATGTCAATTTTGTTAGCAAGATGTTGTAATAGGAAAAAAAATTAATCAATTTAATCATAAATGTGGTGATTATAGATTGTCGAGAGCAAAAAGTAAAGACGGCTTAGAAAGATACTCCATTAGAGTAAAACGATGTTTGTAATAATTGGAATATTTAATGTTAGAACTGTGGTGTAGAAATGAAAATATTAGAAAAAAAACATTACAAGTACTATAATGTTCTAAGGGTTTTAGTTGATGTAATTTGTATTTTAGTTCTTCTGGTAAAGAGTTACCACGCCAAGGAAATATATCCGTGGCACAACTAAAATGAGGAAACGGTGTGTGTGTGTGTGTGTGTGTGTGTGTGTGTGTGTGTGTGTGTGCGCGTGTACGCGTGTGTAAAAATAACAAACTGCAGCCTGGAATTGCCGCTGATACCTTTTATCATCAATTTGGAGACGAACGAGAATAAATGATTTATTTTTTAATAATTTATCGTCATTTTAAAAACCAAGAGGCAAATGATTGTTGCATTTTATAGTTTATAGATTAAAAAAAAAAAAAAAAAATAGAAACTGAAAGGTGGCAAAACATATTAAGGGCTGGTCCTTTGATTATGTATGTATAGGGTTGTTACATGGATGTCTATATCGCTTTGACGTATAAGAAAACATTAAATGATATATTTGTTAATAATGCATAAATGATATAATTTATGATTAGGAAAATATTTTTAAATTTTTCTAAAGAATGAAATGCACAAGTTTTGTTTAAAAAAGTGCAATAACGATTGTTAACATAAATATGTATATTATTATAAATTATATTGTATATAAAATAAATAATATCTGTATTTCCTTTTTCATTTTTTAATTTTTTCTTTATACCTTTTGTATTAGTTTTGTGGTTTTTCAGCACAGGTTCAGCGTACCAAGATTGTATAAAAGTAGTATTATAAATACATAAATGCATAATATATTTTATACATCTTAGAATTGTATATTTAAATTTTTACTACGCTCTGGGGGTCTATGAAAAGCGAAAAGGCCATGCTGACAAGACTGCGCATAGGACATACAAGAATAACGCACGGGCATTTCTGGCAAGAAAGTGATCTCATAGGTGCCCGTTATGCAAGAATAAAATAACAATGAAGCATATTTTCAATTGCAGAAGGCTTGACGTTTCTAGGTAATATTTTGATATATTGTCGGATCTGTGCGTGTTTTTGGGGCACGACAGCTGGTACCTCAGGATTATAGGGATTTTTAAATGTATATAGTGTTTATGTGTGTGTTGTATACACGTTCATTTATTGAAATTAATATAATTTATTAGCGTGAAAGGAATGGGTATTGCTTTCAAGGACTATCGTGTATTCTGGGGTGAGTGTGTGACGTCTGGACAGTAAAAATAAGTTATTAGCGTGAATGGAGTGGGTTCGAACCCGCCCTGAGGAATATCGAGTTCTTTGGGGGAGTGAATGTGACCTCTGTGCTTATTGTATGTCTTGTGTCTATTCTTTAGATGACAACCTGAGGTAAATGAGAGCAGGGAGTCAGTAACAGATCGAGACGCTCAAAAGGCTGCAGGTTGAAAAATAGGCTAGAAAGACCAGAAAAATAAGTTTAAACCGAGGTGCGACGATAACCTCAGCTGTTTGTCGGCCCCTAAATTTTCTATATAAACTGAGAGGCAAAAAATGGAAATAAAAAATTAAACTGACTAAAACAATTTTAACCAAAATGTTGCTATGGTAACAATGAAGAAAATATTCAATTCAGTTCGGAGTATTTCCTCCTCTTTTGTTTATCGCCGCTTGCATTCGACGTGGAATCGATTTTATGAGGTTTTGAATTGTAGTGCTGTAGAAAATCCATTTTTCCAGATTTTCCAACGGAATTTCTTCGTTCTCCCGATGTTCCCGGATTACCTTCGCACAGTCTGAATTTGAAAATTGGAGTGCCAATTATATCCCACCGAAAAATCAATCAAAGTTATGCAAAGGGACACGATTAGTAGTTAAAAAATTGATAACAACCTAACTGAAGCAACATTTCGAATCGGATTTCATAAAGGTGAGGATGTGCAACTTCCACAAATATTCATTCTCATTCCCAACGGCATGACGTTCGAGTTCAAACGACTTAAATTTCCTATACACTTTGCGTTCGCTATTGTCTATCCCGTCTGATCTTTATGTTCATCCAGAAAACGTACAAACAAAAATGTAGTCAATCTTCTAGATTTACAATAAAAAATTATTTTTCTTGAAAAAACACCTTTTTTCTTATATTCCTTTCATTCCACATAGCCACCGAAACGCAAGGCAGGATATTGAATAGAATGATGTTTTTTGATGAATCTAAGTTAGTAGTATCTAGGTCTATTAATGGCCGGGTACCAGCTAAAATAAATATAATATTTTAATGTTAAAATTAATCCGAAATACTTATTTTTTCTATTTTAAAGAGTGAGAGAGGGAGAGAGAGTGAAAGAGCTTGAGCTCTCATGGTATACCTCAACTTCTACATACCAGGTACAAATTTTGTACCATTAATCCAAATTGTCACTCCTACGATTCGTAAATTTAATTATAACTGAAATTCTGATCATATATATTATTATTTCAACTAATTTTAAAATTTGTAAAATGAAATCACAATCATTAATGTGAAAGATGACTTTAATGCAGTCACATATCTTTAGGGTCAGTTTAGTAGTTTTAAAAAAAATTAAAACTTAAATGGTATTTATATATATTTTTCTGTCACATATTGATTTAACTAAATTTAAACCAAGATCATTTTTAAACGGCCTCAATAGTATTTAATTTTTTTGTGATCAACAGAGGTATTTATTGTAAGAATTAATTTTATGATTTCATGTTTGACATGTTTGAAATCGATCTTGATAAAACCGCAAACATTCAACATTCGGAAAGTTGAACAGGAAGCCATCTCTCTACATTGGACGTAATTTCTCTTCAGTAGGTCTTAATTTCGTTCTTATTTATACTCAGCAATGATAACAAACATCTTGCGTGCGTGTAAGAGAAAAGAATGATTGATAATTTCCGACGAGGGTGGAGTACACGTGGTTTCAGCAAGGTGTCGGGGGTGGCGTGCAGGGGGTGCCGCCTGGCAGTCGGGCGATCAATTCGTTCAAGGCCGCGTTTCACCCCCTCACCTTCGGATCCCCGCCCATACTCGCAATCTTCATTATTCATATTACGGATCAGCAGTGATCACCGATGAGAACAGCGGTAAAATTGGCAGGACATGGAGAAACAGAGACACTTTCTTCTGCTTTCCCGATATGAAAAAAAAGAGAAGGAATGAACAATAAAATTACGTAGAGGAAATCTCTAAATATATTTCCAGCGATATTGGCACTATTTAATATAGAAATTCAACAGTATGATGGCTAGCAACGATTTTACTGCTACAAGCTCAAAGAAAAGAAAACAACTGTCAACTAAAGTCTGTATATATATCTTATGCTTGCTTATATCGCAAATAGTCCCTCTTTTTGGAGAGAGCGTTTTGAAATGAGTGGATAAGTATTATTAAGGAATTTCATAAAACTTGATTTAGCAAACGATCACTTCTGGAAGATGACCATTTCTATGTTAAGGAAAGAATCCCAAAAAATAGGACATGTAGTGTCACTGCTTGAATGTTTGGTCCACAGCGTTTCGCCACGCTATATGTTTCGGATAGGACCAAACTTCAGGTTCAACACCCCCCTTTACACTTTTAACACGAGATAATACTATTTAGAAAGATCAATAGAAGATATTAAGCTACAGATAACCCGGCCTCTAACTGATAGTTTTCGTGCGGGCCAGAGGTAGACGATATATTCAAGCGAATCGGAATACTGCGCCATTTGAAAGCTATTGTAAGTACAGGACAGAAGATAGAACATTAGAATATTGAGTCCCAACTTATCGAGGAGTTAGTAAGTAGTAAGCCCAGTTTTAATGGTTGTATTTTTTCCATGGTTAGGTTGTACCAAAGAACTTACTTCAGTTGAGAAGTGTGGCACCACAACCTTTCTGTTAACCATTTCCTGCCTCATGGCAACAACAAATTTACTAAAGCTTAGCTAATCCCATGAGTTTAATGCGGGGTGCAATGTTTTGGCAACACTGATTTTTTAGGCGCCAATCTAAAATCTCCATCTTGGAATCTTCTATTGCACCATTGCAGCTTTAATCGATTGTTATATTTGCCAAATGTGAAAATTTTCATGTCCAGTTTATAACTTAACCTTTCGCCCAAAGTTGCTTCGAGGCCCAATGAAAACAACCCTCTCAATTGTACTAGAAACTCTTCTAAACTTTCATTCATATATGTATTCAAAAAGAAGCACAGGAAAGCTCATTTGGGCTTCAGAAACAATCAAACTGGATGGGAACGAAATACTTCGGGTTTACAACAACAATCAATAACTCTTGGAAATGGGGACTTGAACCAGGAAACACTGTTTACAACATCATATAAAGTATCAACAGACTACAAAGGAGAATGATAATTGCAATTGGAGAAGGCTAAACTCAGAAGGGTGATAGGACTATTAACCTGTCACTAGCATGGCATCTGAGAAGACATCTACACAACATGGGCTTATTCAATAACGAGCCAATTGTAGATTATGCAATGAGGAAGAAGGATCGACAACAAAAGCATATTCGAATCCGAAGTAACCGCTCAATAACTTGCGATATAAAGAAACCCAGGAAAGGGAATTGTACCAACTCCTCTCAATGACTTTTTAAGAGAAGGTTCAAGTCGATTGCATTGACCTAAGGAACTAGAAAAATACAATTAGAGTCAGAAGGATGCAGTGTTTGGGGAACAAACTCCACTTACTAGTATCCTTCATCTGCTCAATAAATGGTTGTTACGTAATACAATTGAAGATTTCTCAAGATTTGTGTTTTTTAATTGTAATTTTTGTTAAAATTTTATTAGCTTACGAAGTAAACTCACAACTTGTCTGGAACTAAATATCTTGAAAATCTTGGATCTACAAATAGCCAACCTAAATTTGGTCCCAGGCCATGAGAGAATTACAGCAACAAGGCCAACAAAAGTAGCCTCGAAACAACACAATAGGCTAAACACATATTGCGGTATAAATTACATCACCAATAAAAATTAAAAACTGGAAGCTAACAACTAAAGAAGACAACAAATACTGGGAGAGTAAATCAGACATAAGGCAAGCAAAAATAATATAATACTCACAAAAATAATCCTGAACTGGTGGATTACGGTGAATTTACTGAACATGATCCAGTTAAATTCTACCTTAAAGAAATGAGACGATAGTCGTATTACCACTCTTGATTATGCCTAGAATGGATAGACAACTGAACAAATCCTATGTAATTGCCCTGCTTATCGTTCTTGAGCTGTGCAGACCTTATTACCATACTCTTAAGAAGAATTCCTTACATCATAAAAGAAACGAAATTCTTCCAGAAAAGCTATTAGAAGAGGCGTCTATCAATAGAAGAAAGTGCTAAAAGTCAACTCTGTACAGAGGAAAAAAGCCACTGAGAAATTTTCACCCTTTTATATTTTCATGATTGTCCTGAAAAGCCGAATAGAAATTCAGCTATTTTGTACGATTTACAGCCGGCGCGGTTTTCGAATGGGAATATCCGCCCTTCTGTACGTATGCTTCTTCTGAAATCGTCAATTCTATTTCTTTGCATTCAATAATTCAAACCGAAAGAAGATGAAATGAGTATTGGCATCGATCAAATATTGAAGTGGGGAAGCGCTACGGCGTCGAAAGGTCGGAGCGGTTATCATGATGACATTTCGTCCCAAGTTGGCGTACGTCGGTGGCCTTTATGCTGGCATTCACAGGTCATCTCTCTTTAACGGGCTCGAATAAAATACGGGGACATTCTTCTCTTAACGCATATGTGTGGGTAAAAGTGAGAATACGAAGTCTAAGAAAGATAATGTAAGATGAAACATCAATCCAGTTTTATTTTTCAAGAGAAGAATTTTATGAAATTACTCCAAAACCAATAATAGAAATCCAATCTTTACATCTAATTTAGAGCAGAATATATTAGTTTATTCCACTGAATGAGGTTTGTAATTGATTAAAGCCGTTATATTTAGTGGTCTATTGACCCAATTACATCTTTCAATTAATTAATTTTTATGTAAGGTTTTGGTTGAAATAAAAAAGGTAGTGCTACGAGAGGGATTCGAACCCACGACTTTCGGCTAAATACGCCCTGCTCTACCACTTGAGCTATCGTGACTTCGATTCACTCGTAATTTATGTATATGTTTGGTGTGGTCTGTGGGCTTATAGCAGGTAATTTGGTCGTTGACAATCATTTTGGTCTGTCTTTCCTCGCTGGTTTGGATTTCAGGCGCGTTTCACCATCTTCATTGGGCAACGAGACATTATAAAATGGAGCCAATAATAAAGACAAAAAAAAAAACCTTTTCGAAATGACCTCCATACCAAAATGCAATGCCATATAGCGTACAGATTTCCAGGCTTTGTTTAAATTGATAATGACCAATGCCTAATATGAAATTGAAAAAAAATGGGCACAAAATCCGTCGATAGGGCATGGTTTTAGTGCAACGTTATGAACACTCAGGAAAACGAAAAAAAAATTAAAATGTATAAGTTTGATGGAAAAATAAACCTTGATTTACATGTACATATGGCTTTTTAGTCAGTTGATATTTCAGTAGATTATTGTGGTAAAATTTTGTTTGGACAACTTTTATATATGTCGTTATAAATTTAATTTCACTTTTGTAATTGGGGTTTCCCGTCAAAAGTTACTTTTAGTGCGATTGAATTGTATGTAATATCCGACAAATTCAGCTTTTAGAAGATCAAACGTTAGAGACAAAATAGAGAATATTGGCACCGGCTTCAATCCTTTACAACGGTGGATAGTTAGATTGTTCTGATCTCGGTGTAAACAGTGTTTTACCTCGTACAAATCAGGAAGGATGGAATATAAAGGTAGACCTGAATTTAACGAATCCTGGGGCAACATGACACGGAAAATCCACCTACAGAATCTGGCTAAGCCGAGCTCACGACGGCTTAGGCCTTTCCCGGATCCCTTGTACTACGTAAGAATATTTCAGTACGTCCGCTTTCTGGGGCTGATGCAAATATCTTCTTCTAGCAACCCGTGCCGCCGGTTATCACAAAGGAATCCATGGTCTATAAACCGACTAAAAGGATAGAAATGCTAAGCACGCCGGTCGAATCAAAGAAGGTCAACAAATATGAACCTGAGTAAGTTAATAATCGTTTTGTTAAAGAACTTTCGATAAGTAACGTTTTTGATTAAACAATTACCGCAATATAAAAACCTGCAAATGTTTGAACTTTCTTGTGTCTCGTAGGCCTGAAGAGCCGATAGTAGAACCTGCAGCTTTGCTTTTCACCCCGACGGAAAGGCTGGCCGCCCTAGCTAAACCGAAGCAAATGTAACACTCCAAATGTATAAAGGATAATTAGCAATAAGCTCAATGCAAAAATTTCAGCCCGAAAGAAAAGAGGAAGAAGAAAAGGAAAGACCAGATAAAAAAGGAGAAGGAGAGGCTTAAGAGTTCTTTGATGCACAGAGGAGAATGGCTTTCGAAAAACGCCGCACCCCGAAAGTACCCTCGTGAGGTTCACAAGCATCCTACCCGTCCACGCTACGTATTCATCGGAACTAGAAAAATTAAAATCTCGGAAAAAAAGACGATACCGGTATGTTTAAAGGAAAGTCGTCGTAATTACATATACAGACGTAGAATAGAGTTATTTTAACCCACCCTACTGTCGCTTGATGAACGAGCTTAAAGCATAAGCTTACAGGTAGTACTTTTCTTTAAAATCACCGCGAGAAAAACAACTTTTAAAGTTATATGTATGTTTATTACTATTCGGAGATCGTGAGATGCGGTCTAGCGTGATGTAGGTTTTAAAAAAACATTTTCTTTATCGAGCCAACGTTTCGATCTTTATTGAGATCATCTTCAGGGTTCAAAGTGTTTATTTTCCGTGTAGATGTGGCATTCTTGTGAGTCGTGACGATTTCTGAATAGTTTTGGTTATACATTTTGATCGAGAAAAATTTGTTTCAGCATACATAAAATTCATACATAGTGTCACAGAAATTAATTACAGCTTAACTAATTTCATCACATCCATTTATATTTAGTGGTCGATTGGCCAAATTACTTCTTTTAAAGCAAAATTAAATATTTTAATTACACTCATGGATAAATCGTTGAATCTAGTTTGTTTTTGACTCGTCAACATTCACAGAAATATACCGTGAGACATCCGCATCATTCGGTGAAAGTGAGCAAAGAAGAAATAATGAGGCACATGGCTATTCTCGCGATTCCGTCTAGGCGGAGGGAAAAATATGTAGACATTATCGCAAAGCAGGCCGTAAGTACTTGCCTTTTGCTTGTTTATTTGACATAGACTTACGGAAGTGTTGTAGCAAGAAGAACCGAAAGTGATTCCGAAAGCGTCCGGGAGGATAATCGAACTGGCACAACCGAGGCAGCTTGCGCCTGATGCTCTTCTCGATCTCAAGTACAAGCCTTACAAGGTCTCTAAGGGGGCGTTGAAATACCAAGGTAGATCAAAGGCCTATTTTCTTTTTATTCAGTCGCTGAACTATTTTCTTGTCACAGCTACTGAAAGGATAAACGTTTTGGCAACTCCGATAACAAAGACGAAGAAGATCGATACAGACGTGAAAGAGGATCCGTTTGGTGTGTCTAAGGCAGCTCTGAAGGCAGTCTGCTCGAAAAGAATTCAAGAGCTCGCCAAACCGGTTATCAAGGAATAGCTCATTGTGAATTTGTATTATTTGACGATTCTTGCTAACTGATAATAAATATCTAAATTCACAAAAGGCCCATGATTTAACATTATTTAATAACATTAAAATACACTGCTCCACAAAAAGTGGCCCATATTGAAATTTGGATTTATTTTTTAAATTGACAATGCTTTGCCCATATTTTTTGTTTTACTACTTTAAAAAAAAGTTTACGGTTACAACTCTACATGTATTATAATATTTATAATTATATCGTATATATATCGTATATATACAACGAGCAGATTGGATTTCTATTTGTGATTATGACATTACGGACGTTATAGAGAAAGCTACCAATTGGCAGCAGTTCTGGATTAATAATATGTTCTTAACCATTCAAGAGGTCTCTTACCCATATTCTTTTGGTTCAGTTTTAATTGTGGGGAATGGAGAAATCAGGGGCGTCGGTGGCTGCAACGGTTTGGGCGTTGACACGACGCTCGTCAGTGTAAGTTATAGGTCCCGGGTTCGAATCCAGCGGCCCTGCAATGGACATACTCACAAATGGGCTTTTTTTCAAAAACACAGGCACCCTGAGGGTTTATATTATGACCTCTGCTGTTGCGAACACTCCAAAAAAGAAAAAAAAATGATTGTCGGTTGAGTAGGTAATAAAGAATTTTAAAACGTTTGTTAAGTGTGTTTTTTAATCAAGCGTGTGGATTCCATATTTTCAAAAGATGCTCCATTTTTCAATTGTTGATATGTGGGTTTGTAATATAAATGAAGCTTGTCTTTAGAAGAGGGATGACTTGTTAATATGGCGGTGTCATCTGCGTTGTCACCCTCACAATTTGGGAATGACACTTTCGTAGATATTCCGAAAAGTGAATGGGGCACATATGTGAATGCTGGGTGGGGATAGGTCGGAGGAGGGGAGATATTCAATTTGGACTGGAAAAAATAGATTAGGTGTGTTCCAGATTCGAAACCTATTGCTTGAGCTAGTGCCAATCTTTAGAATTAAATTGCATAATAATTTAGGTCTCACGAGCGATTATGTTGTGTGGTTGTATGGCTACAAGTACAAAGAGTAGAATAATTAAAAGATTTTATTCATCCTATGTTACAATTTTGGGTTTGCCTTACATATACGTTATTACGTTGTTAATTTGGTTTCAACATGTGTGCTTTTATTTGTTTTATTTTACCGTTCCTCTTATCCTTTCCTTTTAATTTATTGGTCCACTTTCTTTTATTTATTCATTTCCTATCCCCGAGTTTTGAAAGTGTCGTACCTTCATTGTTGTGGCGTTGAAAGAGCATCACAGCGTATATGGCGGTAAGTGCATTCTCATTTGTGCGCATGTCATAAGTAAAAATTGTGTACAACAGCGGAGCGAGTATTGACCCTTGTGGTATACCTGCAAGCACGTCTTTCATCTCAGAAGTCTCCCATCCTTGGTTTACTGCGAAAATCCCACCTGAAGGTATTATTGTATAATCAGAAAATAGGCCTGGGTTAAAAATAATTTGAATTTGTATAATGATCCCTCATGCCATACTTTAAAAATGGTTTAATAATTAAAATTAGAAGGCAAGTATTTGTTTGTGAGACAGCACCGTTTAATTCTTAATTTGAGGTAAAATCTCCAAATTGTAAATCATCAACAAGGGCATATAATCCTTTAAAAATGCCTTTGTTCATTATTATGTTGGTGGTACAATGCCCCTAATCAGCGAGCAAGTTGCCTGTACCATTTCTCTCTTTGAGGATGGAAGAAATAAGCGTCACGCTGCAAAGTTTTAAATTCCCTAAAACAATGGTTGTCGGGCATTCAGTGATACTAGGAGATTGCATGGTGTACTCGGAGACCAGGATTGGGACCCCCAAGAACCCGAAGGTCGTGGGTTCGAATCCCGGCCGTGACACTAAGTTTTTTATTTAAACCAATACCTTTCATACAAAGAATAATTAATTGAAAGAAGTAATTTGGCCAATCGGCCACTAAATATAAATGGATGTAATGAAATTAGTTAAGCTGTTATTAATTTCTGTGACACTATGTATGAATTTTATGTATGCTGAAACAAATTTTACTCGATCAAAATGTATAACCAAAACTATTCAGAAATCGTGAGATGCGGTCTGGTGTGATGTAGGATTCAGAAAAACATTTTCTTTATCGTGCCAACGTTTCGATCTTTATTGATTTCGTCTTCAGGGCTGGGTGTTTGTTTTATGTGTAATTGTGCCATTCTTGCGTGTGGTCTTGAGAGTCACACGTTGTAAGTGACCAAAACGTTTAGTCAACAACGGTTATAACTGAAGGAAGGGCTTAAATAAATAAATAAGTATAAGGTAAATTAAGATTACTGCTCATTCTTTTGACACGATAACATAAATAATTGAATCACAGAGTGTAACTGTAATGTATGGAAAATGCAGGTGTTTGGTCCAAGGAAAACCCTTGAAAATTTAATTGTAATTATAGTAGCTTAAAAATGCACTGATTAATTTCCAATTGCTCAATACGAAACGCTACTTATTATGAAACGTGCCTTATGCTAGTATTGCAGGGAAGGAGATAGGCAATCCTTTAACAAAAGGTGTATTTTGAAAGTACTGATTATTAAAATTAAACTTTCAATGACTGGCAAAAAACTTACCGCAGTTCCTGCCCCACAGGTGTCTACACGACTTCTGCAGAAGAACGGTAGTCATGATAGGATTTGGATAAAGATTCTTTGGCAATAAGTTGGTTTCTCTCAAGTTATATTAATAAAATATTGATTTCAGAAATGCAAAGATTGGATTTTTGTGTTTTGACAAGCGAATAAAACTACTTTTTTTAACGTTTAATAATTGAGTCTTTGTCTAAAAAAGTAAAAAAAAAGGAACATATAAAATATCGGCATACTTTCTACCAGTCTGGAAATGTCTCTTTGCTGGAGGTTAGCCCATTCTTCACGAAGAGCCCTTTCAAGATCGTGGAGTGTATCAGGAAGTGATGACTTGCTCGAATTCGTCTTTTGAGGTTATCCCATAAATGTTCGATAGGGTTCAAGTCTGGAGAACGGGCTGGCTAGGCTAAGACCCTGATGTTATGCTGTTGAAGGTACGTTTGTACTGTGCGAGCGACATGTGGACAGGCATTATTCGTGCATTAGAATAGGTTTGTAGCTGATTTCATCGAGCATAGGCAACGCATGATGTTCCAAAATTTCATCCACATAGCGAATGGCCGTCAAAGACGAACAACAACCAACTCGGTGCGACTCTCCATTGAAATTCCCGCCCACACCATCACCGAGCTACGTTGAAAAGGTTGCTATGAGAAAATTACAAGCTTCGTACCTTTCATTTCGTCTTTTCCACACTCTTTCACGCCCATCTGGAGATCATAGAGCAAATCTACACTCCTCTGTAAAAAGTACATCAGACCAATCATCCAAAGACCAATGGCAGTGTTCTCGAGCAAATGCGTACAGTGCAACTCCGTGTGTTCTGGTAAATTCTTGTCCTCTTGCCAAAGCCATCAATCCATACGGATAAAATCTTCTTCGCATGAGCAGTGGTTTCAGAAATTTGGACACCACGAACTTACTGGAGCTGATGAATCGCTAGAACAACAGTAAGGTGCCTGTTTCGCAAAATTCTCAAAGTCAAAAAACGGTCATCCTGTGGTTCTGTTACCCTCCCTAGGACGTCCAAAACCGGACCTTCTATGGTAAGATCCAGTTTCTCGAAAACGTCTAACGGCGTCTCGCATAGTTTCGTAGGAAACTCCGATAGCAATAGCCGCATAACTGATGGAACGTCCATCATCAATAACGCGCAACATCCTCAGCACTAAGTGGCATTTTTAAGTTTAAAATTTGAAATTAAGAAAACAAAGATGAAAACTACATTTTATTGCTTCAAAATTCAAGCATAATGAATATTTTAAATTCCGTAAAAATTAAACATTGAAAAATACATTTATCCTTGTTGTTGATTGGGATTAAGTGTGTTTACGTCTATTTGATATTCCCAATTTAAAACATAGCATAAACAAATATTTATTGATAAAACAATGAGACAAATTAGGGGCAGAATTTTCTTTTATCGAGAAAATGAAAAAAAAAAAATCAGTTGGATGGAATGTTTTGCCTGTCAGTTATAAGTATGAACTTTGCGCCAAGGTTGCATTTTGCATGAACCTTCCTTCTAAGTTAGTTTGATAAAATTCCGCTGGATGACAATAAGCAATAATGCTTGTATGCTTGTTAAATGAAAGTCATTATGGAAAAATTTCTCAATGAAATAACTAAAAGCTGGAAGAATTATTGATAAGAAGATCGTTGAGTAAATAAAAAAGGGCGGAGGTGACAAGTGGGCAGCGGTATTGTTTTGGAGATTGGCCGGTGCCCCGGTGGTTTTATCGTCGGCCGTTCGGAGGGCGATGTCACGTTTATCGTGTTGTTGGTTTTACGCGAAGGGGTCTAAGTCCAAGGGAGCATAGCCACGAGCGGCGGCCGCCTCGCCCATAAAATGCACAGATTGTCAAGGTGCGGAGGCCGGCTGCTCCTCGGCCTCCTCCACTTCGGGTTCGCCCTCTTCCTCGCCTTAGGACGTCTCATTCGGCCGTTGTTACGCCGGCCCGGCCTCCTCCACCTCCAGGAAGCCGCCTTCGGCAAAGTACCTTCGCATCTCGCCCTCATTTTGGGCCCCGAAGAGGCCTCCTACGATGACATGGTCAAGCTCATCGCTTGGTCTTTTCCCGTCGGCATCAAACACCTCAGCCTCTACGACCCGAAAAACGGTGAGTTACCTTTCTTCGAGTCGTTTTCAATCTCTTGCCTCCTTTTATCCCCTGTTTTAATCCGACCCCGGCACCCTCAAGGTTGTTGACTCAGTCGTTTCATTACTCCACCCATAACTCCACGTCAAGCTTCAACTGCATGTTTCAAACCTCTTATCAGAAATTTTTCTTACAAAAACAAAATTATAAGCTGTTTTCAATAATAATACAAGTTCAATAATACAAAATTCAATAATAGCACTTTGTTTACAAAAACACTGGCTCATTTCATTTGAACCAACTTCTCTTTAAGCTGTAGATTTCTTTTTAACCTGGCTAAAGAGCCTTTCAGAATTTTGATTAGCCTCTATATTGGCCCTGCGTTTTTATTGCGCAAGAACCAAGAAGCATTTGCGAAATGAACGTCTTGGGTTAACCATTTCCACAAGGCGAAACAAGAAGAGACAAGCACGCCATTATATCTACACGTACTGCAGTATTGGTATTTGCTTTCATGGTGTTACTTGATGGCGGCTCCAGACATGCGGGATTCACTGAATGCCAAGCAAAGGTTCATCGAATCTCGACAAGTGGGGATCGCCTCTCGGTTAGTCACTGAACAACAATATTCGGTGCTCGGCTTATTGTCAGTTTTCTTTTCTGCTTCAAACTGCACAAAAATTCAGGAAGTAGCCAAACTCAAAGAATACACACATTCGGGAATCAGCTGTAACAGAAGTATACACTTCTATTTATTGCTATTTATTTTGCATAATAAACGATTCCTAACTAGTATATTAGGATTGAAATAACGTCATAGCGATGATTCTGTTCATTAGGAATGGATTGGCCCAATATAATAGTCTTGGAGTTCCTTGATCTGTACTAAGCTGAACCAATAATTTGGTACGTTTCTCATCTAAATCACAAAAATTGGAATATGGGGTTCTGTAATTGATTTGTGGATGAATTTGTAACCGCTACACAAAACACCGCAGCTGCAGCAATGACAGTTTTACTGTTGTCCATCACGATTGGTAGTAAGTTGAGGACTCGCATGGCACTTGACGAACTGGGTGTTGGACAAACTGCATGTGTGTACATAGGCACACTATTTGGCTAATGCCAAGTCGAGCATCTCAAGACTTGGCATATGTTTGGCAGGAATCGGCATTCGGCAATACCGCATATCTTGAGCCACCTTTATGATAAAAAATAGAAAGAAAAACAAACAAAGAAAACACTGTATTTTCTTTCATGCAACATCTCTTTTTTTCTTATTATGATGACTTTTATCTTTAGCATCCCACAAAAATCGATAGCTCTGATGCAGTTGGATCAGTCAAATGCAGTCCTCCTGGTTCAATCTGAAGCTCGAAACACACGTGCATTTACACCGAGGGAAACAGGGAATGCGAAGTACATTGATGTGTGCTAAAAAACTGGCTGGCTCTTTCCAAAACACGTCCAATGGGACGAAAAAACAAAGAAAGTTTGAGCTCAAAAAGTCAATGTAGTAAGAGTTTAAGGTCCGATTAGTATGGCCAACTCTTCTTGCTTACTTTAACAGATTCTTCATTACTCTTCTGTCCTTGTGCACCTGGAACCAGCTCTTTATGGTTGTGATTTTACCCTTGGTGAAGCCAGTGTTTTGAGTGCACCTTAGATGTCAGAGTAGATGGCTATCTTCTTACTTACCCGTCTTTTGATCTTAGAAAAAATCCCCAATGCCAAAATTGCGGGGTCTGAAAACAGTGCCAAATTTTCCAAGAAACAATGGGATTTTTATACTCAATTTTAAATTCTGGCTCCAGTTTTATTTTTGCTTCAAATGAATAGAGTTAGCATTGACTGGTATACCTTTCTCCCATGCAGCTCTTTCTCAGATTTTAATTGATATTTCTTTCGAAAGTTATATTTATTAGTCATGCTGTCCATGGGCATGACTAATGTTACATCCTTTTTAACTTTTTCCCTAAGTTGTTAGGCAACAAGGATGTAGCTTAAAAAAGATAAAGTTCTTTTTCCTTTTCTGGACAACCCAACTTGAATATATCAAAACTGAAGCTAGGTCTTCTGTAGTCATCTTAGTCTGTCTATCCTTGTAGGTTGTCTATGTGCTAATTTGCCAGTTGAACCAGCAGAAAGAGGCAAATTCACTGATGATGCCTTTCCAAGTTTGCACCTGACCAAAATGGCCCATTAAAGTTGTTATCCCACACACTACAAACACCACGGCTATGAAATAACCTGTCGTGCGATTTATAAACTAAAATGTTGCATGCAGTAATGGCATCGCAATTCACAGAATGGACAGTTGGTGGTAAATCTCTTACATAAATTCATTGTGTTTTCAATATTGTAAGTAGATATTGAACCTTATCTCAAGTATTTGTGCACTTTCTAAATTATTAATAACAGTTTCAAAGGCCTATAAATCAGGTGGAAAAAAGCTTGACGGAACTGAGTGTTTTTTTTTCCTTTCAGTATTAATAGTATTGTTTAAGGTTTATTTCGGTTGTTTCAGGAATTGAGGCAGAAAAACTCTTCGAGAACGTGAGAAAGAGTGGAAGGCAATACATTCCAAAAATAAAATGGGGGAATTCCTTTAGTGAAGAGATAAAAAATCAATCTAAGAAGTCCATCAATGGTATGCCTGGTCATAATTTCAATTTAACTTTTGAATGAATATTAATAATTAAAGAATAAATTAAATATTTACAATCATTTTAAAAGATAAAATATTAATTTTTTGTTTATATTTATTAAATTGCCAAATTGAATAACAAGGTTTTGTTAAAGGATACAGGTGGAATCCAACTCTAACTGTTCATATCTACAAAAGAGAAGATGGATTGCCTAGGATTGTTGAGACTGCAAAAGAATTGTTCTCTGCAGGATGCATGTCCGTCGACAGAGAAATCCTCGGAATGAAACTACAAGGCTCACTTGCAGCCCCTGACCCCGATTTGGCAGTTATATGCGGTGACACGTTGTGTTATTATGCCTTTCCTCCTTGGCATCTCAGGATAACGCAAATGCTGTACGGTTTCTAAACTTATCTAACGCTTGCCTGTCCATCACATTATAATAATTTATAATGATTGATTTTTTTTCAGGACCCTTGAAACACATCACAACTTCACAGCCAATCAGTTTGTACAGCTTTTGAAAGATTACTGCAAGTGTGAGCAGAGGTATGGGAAATGATTTTTGTTTTTAACTGGAATTATCTATAAATATGTATAATAATAGATATTTATTTATGTAAATGGGAAGGTGAATAAATTGTTAAATCATTAATATTTTGTGTTTATTTTTTTATTCAAATGATTAATTCAAATCATTTATCTGAAATTTCAGTTTAAAATGCATTGGTCATTCCGAACAATTATCTTACGTCTGTCTTCAAGTGTAAGAAAATATTAAGATAGCATCACATGGTATATTTTTGGTGCTGTATCTCAATACAAAATCATAACAATGATTAAAAAACGTCTTCGCTCATTAGTTTAATGTTTAATTTGAATGCTTTAATTGGATTTAGCAAGCCTATTTCTGTATAATAAAGGTGTGAAATGTTCAATAGTACTTATTTCTACACAAATGAAAAAAAGAAGAAAAAAGGAACAAATTTGAACGTTGCATCTTCAGAAATTGTAACTGCACTTGATTATAGTTGTGTTCCACTTGTTCAAATCAAATGGGCGAGCCTTGTTTGACTTATCAATTGCTATTAAAATAAATTATCTTATTAATTTAATAATTACTATATTATTAAATTGAATTATCAACTGCTGCAATGCAGAAGCAATCAGTAAAACTGGTTTATTAGGGTAAAAATTTGTAGAGAAACCAGAAGCAGTGCATTCCCTCTTCCATGTTACGATTCATGCCCACTAATATCATTTTAATTTAACTCAAAAATACCAAACACATTTTTTGAGAACTAAAAATTCCCTTGTGAAACTTCTCAGTGGGTTCTGTGAGGCAATGAAACTAATTTTGTTGTTCATTTTTAGTCTGCCTATCCTAGTTTGTTCTGTCAATGTTTTTCTTCGTTATTTCAGGACAGTGTTGGCTCTAGGTGATCACAAAAATCAAACTACTTCGTTTGGATTAGCAGGAGTGGAAATCTTCATAAAGACAAAATGCTTGTAAAAAGTGATTTAGTGGAAGCATGTAAAAACCTCTAACATGGCTAAAAGAAACATTATCAATATAGACACTCAACAGTGTGAAGTGTATGAAAAAAGTCTAATATGTGCTACTGGATGTACGAGAAAGACCTGTCAGAGCAGTCATCAAAGATAGGCTAATCAGGAGATAAGATAAACTACAAGTTTATCATCCCACAGAATTCAACAAGAACAATAAAAAATTATCTTCACTGTTCAGTCTGGGAGATTTTTCCCCGTCTCTGAAAAACGTTGATAGACAAAATCAGTACAAAAGGGTAGAAAACTGTTGAATTGTTGGTTTATCACCGTGCAAACTACAGAAGGAAATTTCACAATTTATTAATATTAGTTATGGCTTATATAACAACCAAAAAAATGGTTTAAAAATAAAATCGATATTTTATGACTTTGAAATAATAAGTCTCAAATTTATCATAAACATTAGCTTCTTGCATGATCCAGAAAATGTGGTTTACTATATGTAATTCATTTTGGAAAAATTAATATTGAACAAATTTGAATTCCTAGTGTTAACACTAGTAAAATTTATAGTGATCTGCCAATTCTGCTGAGTGAGTCTTAAGTCATCATTGAGCAGGTATAAACATTGTTATCAGGAGAACCTAAGTTCTGACCAATCATTTCAAGGACAGTCAAAGGTCAACAAGAATCTTGTTGGAATTGAATATCGTTACGTACATATTATTTTTTTATAATTTTAGGATAGAATTATATTTATTTTTTCTTCATTGGACTTGAAAGCCAGTACAAAAACTAAATAAACATATATCCTATGGCAATCGTTTCTTCAGAGAATACAGAACATAAAACAATAGAACTAATTTATCATTATACAGTGCATGAACTGGGCTAAACTCTGACCTGACACCATTTGTAAAATACGGCAGACATACATAGCAATACAGGTATAAATATGTTAAAGAACTAAATATTTATGGGGCATCAGTGGCTGCAATGGTTTATACATTGCCATGGCACCCATCACTGAAAGGGAAAAGCCCCGGGTTCAAATCCAGCAGTCCTGCATTCAAACCCGACATACAATTAATTTTTTTTTCAAAACACACCAAGCATAGATACGACTCTGCTGTTGCAAACACTCGTTTAAAAAAATGTAGTTACAATTTTATTTCAATTTTTTATTATTTGTTATATTCCATTTAACTTTATTTTTGTGTTCTTTGATTTTTTCTCCTTTCACTTTTTATATGTGTAGTTATTTTATTTTTTATTGCTGTATTTTAGCAAATAATGTACGATACATATTTTTAGCCAAGATGGAGTGGGTGTAACCCATTTGAATGAGGAATATCAAGGTCTCTGGGGTGAGTGTGTGACATCTAGAGGGTAAAAGTAAGTATTAGCGACCAGACTTCCATTTTTGTTTGGGGTTGTGTTTATGTTCATTTATAGGGATGAATGTAATTTATTAGCATGAAAGGAAGGGGTTGTTTAACCTCACTCCGAGGAATATTGAGTACTGTAGGGTGAGTATGTGACATTTGGAGAGTAAAAGTAATTTATTAGCATGAAAGGAAGGGGTTGTTTAACCTCCGAGGAATATTGAGTATTCTGGGGTGAGTGTGTGATGTTTGGAAAGCAAAAGTAATTTATTAGCGAGAGAGGAGTGGGTTCAACCCTGCCTCGAGGAATATCAAGTACTCTAGGGTGAGTGTGATGTGTGGAGAGTAAAATAAGTTATTAGCGAGAATGGAGTGGATTCAACCCTGCCCCGAGGGGAACATTGAGTTCTCTGGGGGAGTAAATGTTACCAGTCTTGAATGTTTGTGGTGATGTATACATACGTATGCTTTATTCTGTAGTTAACAACCTGAAGTACAAATTACTGATAGCAATTTAAGACATTGATTTAGTTTCAATATAAAAGCAGAAAGTCAGTAACAGATTAAGACGTACAAATGGCTGCAGGATGAAATATGTCCATGAGTGGCTAGAAAGAGAAGTAAAAACATACAGAAGGTGATGACCTCAGCTGTTTGTCAGCCATTAAAATTTCATTATGCATGCTTTTTATTCATACAGAAATTCAGTTCTTAACAAATGAGGTTAGTTTCTTGCAATATTTTTTACATATTTATTTCTATAGAGTTAAATATTTAAAAAGAAATAATTGCAGACTACAATTTTTTCCCCTTTACGCCAAAGTATTATAATATAGGGCCCGTAGAAAATAAAATATTTTCAACCAACCATCTTTAACAAATAACAAGTAAAGCTACATAAAAAAATATTAACCTCTATGGCCAATAAGTTTTACAGCTGAATTACATTAGGGAAAATTTTAAAATTATATTGTAAATGATATTTAGGTCAAAAAATTCTAAGTAAGGAATTTTTTTAAAGTGCGAAGGAATGATAAGAAAATTAATTAAACAACAGAAATATAAACAAATGTAAAGGAAGTGACAAGGAATGATAAAAATGTAATGAAAACAATATAAATATATAGACAAATCAAACGCAATTACCATGTTCAATATTTAAAAAAAATGTTTAAATTGACTTAAGGGGAGGTAAAAGTGTCACAATGTCAAGGAAGCTTATTACTCATTACCATGAGACAAGGAAGCAGACTAAATGTTAAATAATTTGTATTATAATTAGAGTTTGAAAATAATATTTTTTATCTGTTATTACACTATGAAACATGGAAATTTAGTAAATTGATTAATTGTGGAGAGTTGAATGCATTATTTATGGGTTTTTAAGAAAAATATCAGTTCATTATTTTGGTCACCTTATGTTTGGAGATTACAGTTCTGTGGATACCATAATAAGTTTGTACAGTGTACCCAATCATTTTAAATCTGAGAGTGCACATAAATCGTCGCTGTGCATTTTCTTGAATTACTTAGTATTTTCTGATACAATGCTCTAAAATGGGATAGACCTTAAATTTTTTTATTGTTATATGTAAGAAAACTAAAATATGATTTGCCTTATTAATTATTGAGGTACAATGCAAGTAAAATTTCAGATTGTTAGAGTAGATGATTCCAAGGAATTTAATGATGGACTGCCTAAGTACAATTGGATGTCTTGTAGAAGGTTACACTAAGTCCACGACTATTTACTTATGAACTTTATTACTTACTATAAATATACAATTATACATTTTATATTATTAAGTTATGGTAATTGAATTAACGCCAATCGCCCAAAGAAACAGGAATAAATTAAAAAAAATAATAGGAATTTTGAAGAAGTACACGAAAACGAAGGCATGACAGCCAACGTTTTGTTTAATGCTCTTTGCCTACAATTAAATAAATTTTGAAATTTGTGAGGAAGCCTTATTGCAACATGGTATGTAAGAAAAACAGTATCTCCAAATTATGGCACAATTACTTTTTACCCCTCAATCTGAAAATTCACCTATCAGACAGTACATAGACAATCAACTATGCTAATATTAGGCAATTAATATTGGCAATTCACGCATGATATTTGGTTTTGATGGGTAATACAAATAGTGTTTTGTGTTATCTACATTTATTAAATAAAATTAAGGAAGTAAAAATAATAATGAACAAAAGATATGGCAATTATTACAGCCATTCAACTAACAATGTCCCCAACTTTAATAAACCGTCTTATGCAGATATTACTAGAGGATATTCACCACCTACATGTTACAATGGCCACAAAAATTATAATAATAAATATAACAATAACAAATACAATCACATTAATCAATATGATTCTAATTCAGTTGTTCTCTCCTAAGTACATTTGTAACTATTCTATAATTTTAATAGGCTTTGTCTGGAAAATAAGTACATATTGTCCATAATGAAAAATTAAGCTGCATAATAAAAAAAGAAAAAAAAATTAATTATATGTATTTTAAACGATTTTTTTAAAAATACGCAAAGGAAAAAAAAGGTTAATAAATATTAACGGTTAGTATTATATTATGTATTTTTTATAATTCCACAATAACTGTATAAAATATGTTTTATGTAACTTTCAGTTTCAATTTTATGATAATACGCGGTTCCTTCCACGCCAGTCCTGCTCCGAATTTCATATACGCAAACACACGCAAATGATCAATTATAATATTATAAATAATAAATTAACGGCGATTTAATTAATTTCGGTTTTAATAAATTTTGTTTAGGGTTGAGGAAAGTCAATTGTGGAAGTTTCGAATAAAAAAGTGGAATTGACGATCAAGTCACCATTCACTATTGTTGTGTATTGAGCTTTGACTAGCCTTTGTCGAGATTACCGTTCGTAGATTGACCACCAATTTGAAAAGCCGTAAGTATTTTGTAGTGTGAAGTTTCATTATTAAAAACTAGAGCTTTTTAGTATAATAAAAATATAGAATAAAATATTGGGAGGTGTAAAATTTGAACAGATTACCATTGATTATCCTGCTTTTCCAGATCGAGGATAATGCAGTTGCAAGTTCGAGGGCTCTCCACCCACACGTTGGAATGTAACGAGGATGAGACGATTTCATCAATCAAGGTTCGTTTTTAGTACAATTTTCCATAGTTTTTTGTTGTATAAAGGCTTTAATATTTCTGCTAGACGTGATTCCTTCTCGTTAGGTTATGGACACGTGGTGGCCTAACGAAGGTTGGCCATGTTCCTTTTCTGAGATTGTCCGTTTTGGAAAATTGTACATTTGATTTAAAATTGATTATACTGGGTTGGTGCAAAATTAATGCAGGTTTTAAAAAGATTTTTTACTTTTGCAGGTTTCGTGTAAACAAAGCTAAATCCTCAAATCTAATTTAGGGATTTATAATAAATACTTTTAACAGTTATCTTTTATACAAAACATTTTAGTTTATTATTCGTTTTATGTAAGGTCTTGGTCGAGATGAAAAAGTCAGTGTCATGAGGGTGATTCGAACCCACGACCTTCGGCAGGATACTCCGTTGCCCTAACCATTTGAGCTGTTGTGACTTCGATCCACTTCTACACCAACTTCCCATTTCAACCTCCATTTTCTTCCTTTTTTGCCATTTTTTTCCTTTTTTGCCATTTTTCAAATGCCGTGTAATCAGGATTCGATTCTCGGCGACTTATGAAGTGGCCACGGAGAGCTGTTAGTGAAGTGATACTTCGGGTTCAAATCCCGCTCATGACACTAACTTTATTGTCTCGACCAAGATCTTACATTAAAAGAGTAATTAATTGAAAGAAGTAATTTAGTCAATTGGGCCACTAAACATAATGGATTTTAGTTTATGTTGAATTATATAAGAGTGAGGACCTGCGAAATTAAATGTCAATGTTTCATCAAATTTATTTATACGAATTGAACCTTGGGTGAAACATCAATAGAGTTTTGGGGGAGGTAAGCATTAGCGAATGCACAGTGCAGTGATGGTTTTGGAGATTTTGATCTCAAAGACGGGGAAGGCCGTGGTAGGCCATCCATTGTGGATGACGACAAACTCGAAACGTTGATTGAAGGAAATTCATGTAAGACAACATAGGAAATATTGGAAGAACTTAGTGTTGACCGCTCTCCTATCATTTGCCACCTGGAGCAAATTGGTAAAGTAAAGAAGCTTGACAAGTGGGTACCGTATGAACTAACCGAAGCCCAAAAAATTGACTATTTGAAATTTGCACATCTCTTCTGTTGCACGACCAAAATGATCCATTTGTTGATCGAATCATCACATCTGATGAGAAATGGATTCTGTACGATAGATAACAGGAGGCGTACTAGTTAATTGTAGGACAAGGATGAAGCGCCAAAACACATCCCAAAACCAAATCTTCACTCAAAAAAGATGTCGACTTTTGGTGGTGTATTACTGGGGTTGGTCACTATAATTTCCTGAATTTCACAGCAGAGAAATATTGTCAAACCGCAACATCTTTGTCCAGCATTGGTAAACGGTAATGGGATGATTCTTCTTCACAACAATAGGCCATATATCACAATGCCAACCCTGTGGAAACTTAAGGACTTAGGATATAAGATAAGGACTTACTGCACCCTCCATGTTCCCCCGATCTCTTACCTATGGACTTCACGTTTTGGAACCACTTTTAAACATTTTGATAAAAATTTTAAAGAACGTGGTGAACCTGAAAACACCTTCCAAGATTTTATTTTGAGTCGAAAAAAGATTTTTATGTCAGATAAAAGTGCTTCTTACCTGTTAGCAAAGATGTGTAGATTGTGATGGAAAATATTTCAAATAAATTTTCTTTATTTTATAAAAGTTAAAAATAGTTTTGACTACCTATGCAAAACTTGAATTATTTTTGCACCACACCAACACTTGGAACATATAGGCTGATTGCTGTATTGCTTCAAATCAATACACGTTAGAAGGCTGATTTTAAGTCCCACTGTATGTCAGGAATCTCTGTACTACCAATAAAAAACACTATAAATATACCTGTTTTTATAATTAGTAAGTAATAAAAAGTAAAGTAATTACTATCAGGAAGGCTTAAAGAGGAATACACACCTTCAGTTTATTTGCACAGTTATCTGTCAAAAATTACAGAAAATCTGTACATATATCTGAACTGAAGGTGTTAAGGGGCCTACACACCTTCACTTTTACCTGCGGTTTATCACAAGTGACATCATGTTTATCACCCAGATATCCAACTCTGTAACAAAACAAAAATTTAAATTAAAATTGTGTCGTAAAAGTCAAACAACAGTAGTGAATGTAAACTGAGGATCTACTGTTCATGGCTATTCTATCAGGAGACCAGGAAAAGGGGGATTGTTCGAACAGCAGTTTAAAAGAAATTTAATTCCCTGTAACTCTTTAATTTGTCAGTTTTAATTAAAATAATTTTCGAACTTTTAATTCAAAATTTGAAACTAAGTTTTTGAAATATTTGCAAAACTGTAGGTAAAATCATTTTTTAGTTGTAAAATTTAAACAAAGCATTTTGTCCCCTGTGTACTCGTGATCATTATATCAATTACTGTAAGGTCCCAAAATCTGGCAGGAAGGAACATTAAGGAAAAAAATTATATATTAATGCCAATAAAAATTATTTGCATGCTTGGTAAGCTTAGAAGTTCCTTAATCTACAAATGTAATAAATAGTAATTGTAGTTCTTGTGTGTAATAAAATTAGCAAACGTTTTTTTAATTTCAGGCTCGAGCTGCAGCTTTGGAGATGATCCCTCCAGAGCACATCCGCCTTTACAGTGCTGGGTCACCTTTGAATGATGACATTACTGTTTCCCAATTGCAAAATTTTGACTTGGAATTGACAATCCCACTTATTGGAGGTTTGTATTTATCGCCTAGCACATTTTATAATTTTTGACATTGTTCCTTTTATACAGGTAAAGTACACGGATCTTTGGCTCGTGCCGGTAAGGTTAAGGGGCAAACTCCCAAGGTGGAAAAACAGGAAAAGAGGAAGAAGAAAACTGGCCGTGCCAAGAGGCGCATTCAGTACAACAGACATTTTATCAGCTCTGTCCAAACATTCGGTAGAAGGAAAGGACCCAACTCGAGGACATAAATAATTTTCATGCTTAAAATGTAACGTTTCTTAAATAAAAACATTTTACGTTACACCATCTCCTCTTTTTTCTTCCTACCTTCCTTCCACATTTTGGATAGTGTGGACTATTTTGTTTGAACAAAAACTGTTCTATAAGTCCTATTAATTCTCATTTATTTTCATTCGACCATATAATAATGTGACTAAATAACAAAAGGTTTATTTTTAGATTTTAATAACATCAGATCGAAGACCTTGGAACTGCCAAAGTCATTCTTCACTGGGTTCTAGATAAAGGAATTAAAAAAAAAAAAATCTTGTGTCAAAATGAACTACCACAGCCGTCAGACTTGTACTTTCTTATGTGGCTTGAGGAATACTTACTAAAAAAGGGTAGATATCAAGTACTAAATTCAGGCCTAAATAAAAGTCGTGTGGCGTCTGAATGCATACATGAAATGTATAAGCGTAAGAAATAATCAACTTTGTTGGGCAGGGAGCACTAGAACTTAATTACCACTGGATGTATGGATAGACACAAATCAGTATGTATAGATAAAGCAGACGCAGACAGGAAACTTTCATACTCTTGTGATTTTCCTAAAATAATTAAGGACAACTGTTAAAAAGGAATATTATTCATGTTGAACCGGCACAGGTTTGCTTATTACTACATATTATTGCTTAAACATGAAAATAATTTATGAATACTATGATAAACACAGATATGATTATGAATATCGATAGGTGATAAAAGATCACCTAATGAGGCTACAGATGGAATTCTTAAAACTTAGGAAGTTAAGGGTGAAATTTGGATGGCAGGTCAAGGTTCGTTTGATAAAAATGAAAAACGCATACTGAAAATGAAAGCAATAACCGCCAAGGTACCAGTAGCCTATGTGAAACTGCACAAGGTTCATGGCGACATGAGAATAAGATAGTAACAACTTGAACCATACCTCTATCGATTTCTTAACTTCGACAACCCTAACTGCATTAGCTTTGGGACCCCACAATCTTGTCTTGACATAATTTTGGAATGCCAAATCTTATATTTTCAGGGTCAAACCACCAAGGGTCATGTTAACCCCAAATCTTTTAGGAGGATTGAGGAACCAGTGCACACCAGAAGGGGTGCAATTGCACCAAACCATGCTGGAATCGTGTGTAACATGGGTTTAAAGGAATGTGGGTGTATGTGCCGCCACTTAAGTCCCGTGCACCTTGGGTTTAAAAACGCAAAACCTCTTGTACCCCACCAAATCCGGCATGCCACAGGGAGTCCCATATTTCTTGCATATTACTCGTTTAGATTTCAAGTAGATTAGCTTCATTTAAAAAGTGAGCCCTTGTGTGTCCTGATTAGCCCCCTAAAACATCGGATAGTGTGATCAGTAAAACGTACTTATTTCTGATACTATCACGCAGGCGACATGATATAAGGAGGTGTGATAGTTTCATTGCATAAAGGACAGATCGGTGGTAGCTGACGAGCCATCAGTAACCCTTGGTGCCTTTACAGTGTCCCATTCTCAGCCTAGTTAGGATCATTTTTAAGGCCTGCAGGACGGACATCAAGTAAGTGTATACGACCAGACCAGTGTATTGTTCGAGCAAACAATATTTATTGATTTAATTATGCTGTCATTTCGGCTGTGTAATTACTCGCTACCGCATTTAAGGAGAATAAACATTCTATATAATAAATATATAGAATAAATATAAATAGAATATATAGAATAAACACATAAAGTCTCCGAAGCTCTTGGTGGCCTTTAGTGCCATCTGAATATGTACATATAATTTCTTACTCAAATAAATTTGAACTTTTTGTAAAAATAATTAACATAATAATAATTAATTAGTAAATTAATGTTAATAATAAATAATTGAAATTATAGTAATACTAAAAAAACATATACATACATGAAGAGCCCATCGAAACAACAAAAATAAAACTGTAATGCACAAAAATGATAAATTATTGTAAAATTAAACGGAAAATTTGTAATAATTTTTTTGAGTACAGATGAAAATAAAAAAGGAAAAATAATTGGAATTTGGACTAAACAGTGCTACCAACATTTTTGGAATTTGAACTCGTAATTCGGCAGTTTACACGCGGTTCTCTCCTCCCGACGTAGTTCACATCGGCAGTTGAAATCATTGGCTTCAAAATTGTTTTCAAAATTCATTTTTTTGGTCTCTTTTTTATTATTCGCGATTGTCGTGGCGAGGTAACCTGTTGCCAGCGGATCTCCACCGTCTTCCCCCTTTTGATCGTTTTAATCGTCGAGCTTCTAGGAATCTCGGCTGGAAGGTGAGTCTTTTTTATTTTATTCTATTTTTATTTTAAATTGTTCAAAATTTGTTGTTCTAAAGAATACAGTCCGCTTGCTCGTTAACAAACAGTGTTCTACATTACAGAAAAGGTAGGGTAGGGATAGGGATTGAAGAGGCGGCCACAAGGCCTACTGCAACTCGATCTGAATAGATGTATTGTGCTCCAAGTTATAACTCACTGGCCAGCTTCGGGTTATTAATCAGCCTCCACAGCTTTGCCAGCGGCTCCTTGGTGTAGGATCTTGCTTGTGGTTTTTCTTGTCCTAGTTGCAAGAACCTGCACCTACATAGACTTTCCCAGAAACATAGAATGTATTTGGCGGTCTCCTACTCTTCCTGGCAGAATCTGCACAGTGTTTCTTCTGTGTGTACCTGTAAGGACCATGCGGGGCATGCGCCTTCTTATGTGGCAGTGCCCTGTCAGGAGTCCAACCAGAATCCTGGTTTGGTTGCTGTTGCCTTCCAGTAATCCTTTTGTAAGTTTTGCGGATGGTCCTTCTAGAATCTCTTTGCATGCCTCAGTTCCACTAGGTTTTGGACTCCTTTAGGATCTATTTTAAGAAGTATCCGCTTTTTATGCTGCTAAGCCAATGTAGGGTTCAGGACTCTGAGAAACCATATTGGCCTACAGAAAAGGTAGTAAGTATACATCTTAAAAGGGTACTGTTTAATGACAAACCCAATGTACAACATCGAAGATTCATACAGGTATATCAATTAGATTAATTTATACATATTTATTTGTTTGAATTTATTAACGTATGTTTGTATTTTATGTACACGACTGACACTGATCAGAGTGCAAACGATTAAGTTTATTGTTACGTTAATCCATATATGCATTTGGTAGTCACAATTGACTATCAATTGTTTTAATTACTTTCTTCTTATCTAAACTCATTAGATTAGAACCCACAACTCTAGTTGACGTTGATCGACCTACGTAGTTTAAACTGATGTTGTATTCTTGAGGTCATTTTACAGGTGAATAAAGAACTTCACTATTGGGTTTCACCAAGCTTTCGGCGAATGTTCCGCCATCATCAGGGCCTAATTTATTAAAAAAACAAAATTTACATGAAAAGAGTTACATAACACATTTTATATAAACACATTACAAAAATACAATTACGTACTTAACCCAGTTGTTAGGAAAATTAAATTTATTGCACATGTTTGTTGTTTTTTTGAAGCGAAGGTGAAAATGAATCGAAAATGAAGTTTACAGTGGAGGAGGAGAACAATGGTAAACTTCCATACTCGGATTTGGTCATCGAAAGAAATGATTACAGATTAACGACCAATTAGTACAGAAAGCCCACTAGCAATGATAGGTTCCTGTATTTCAACTCTTCCCATTCTTTCTCTCTAAAGGTGAACTGTGCCAGAAATTTGATAAACCGAGCCTTGGGCTTGAGCGACTGAAAATATCTGGAACAAAATACAGCCAAGGTCCACAAAATGCTAAAAACAAACCACTACCCGTTGGCACTGGCAAGTGGCTCATAAATGCATTTAAAGGAAAATATGTTCAGAATACTGCTCTAATGGATAACATTAACCCCAATGTCATGATGGAGGGGTGTGATAAACCAATTTCATTTAGATCAATCATATATGTTCCTAATGTATCCCCGAAAATCAAGAAATTGTTTAAAGATAAGATGGGGGAAATCATCACGTATAAATTTAAAAATAACCTAGATAGATAGATTATAATAGATGTTTACATTCAAACCTAAAGGCGAAGGAGCCAATAAGCTCACAGTCGAGTGTCATTTACAAGTTGTCATGTGCGGGTTGCCACATCCAATATGTTGGGCAAACAAAACAAAGAATGAACCAACATAGACTGGACTGTATAAATAGAAAGAAAACCACGGGATTGGCAACACATGCGACGGAAAGTGGTCATTTCTTCAAGTTGGACTCCTCTGGGATCCCGGGCAGAGAGTTGAACTAGGAGAGACGACTACTTTTGGAAAAAGTCTTTGTTCATGTTACGAAAAACACTTATAATTTACAAATGGATCGACTGGGCTCCATCATGGCATATTCGGGAATCCGGCAACTGTTCATGAATCGAAATAAAGCGCAAAGTGACGTTGGTATGTCTAATTACACCGGGATTGATAATAGGGATAGGTCCCTTACCATGTTATAACCATCCGATGTGTGTTCCCAATTTTCTTCGAATCTTTGTACATAGTTGTAGCTAGTTAAATTATAATTTTAAGTTAAAAAACAGTAAAAAAGTATGTATATAACGTATCTGTGATAAAGAAATACATGTACCTGAGATTTAGTGTTAACGTATGAAAAAATGAAACCAAAGGATGACCGATGAGGGTCAGTAGACTTTTAAGCAAGACGGTTTTTGTTTTTCAGTATATAGATTCATTTTCACCTTCACTTCAAAAAACAACAAACGTGCAATAAATTTAATTTTCCTAACAACTGGGTTAAGTACGTAATTGTATTTTTGTAATGTGTTTATATAAGATGTGTTATGTAACTCTGTTCATGTAAATTTTGTTTTTTTAATAAATTAGGCTCTGATGATGGCGGAACATTCGCCGAAAGCTTGGTGAAACCCAATAGTGATGTTCTTTATTCACCTGTAAAATGACCTCAAGAAGATCCAATACATCAGAACTCACAACCTTCTGCTCAATCGCGGCTGGACTTACCACTTGGGCTATGGTCGTCCTGCTCGTGTCACTGCTTTTATCTCACCCAAGATCTTAGATATGAAAGTATAATTAATTAAAATAGTTTACGGTTACGTTGTAGCTCCATAATTTTTTTTCGATTGCTTGAAAACTAAAAAACCAACCTTAAATACGTTTGTGTGTGTTATTTAGTAACCGTTAATTAATGATTATTCGGAGATCGTGAGATGCGGTCTGGTGTGACGTTTTTAGAAAAACATTTTCTTTATCGTGCCAACTTTTCGATCTTTATTGAGATCATCAGGGCTCAAAGTGTTTGTTTTCTGGGAGAATTCTCAACCCAGACACACAGTAATAATCTACACAGAAAACAAACACTTTGAGCCCTGAAGATGATCTCAATAAAGATTGAAACGTTGGCACGATAAAGAAAATGTTTTTCTAAACCTACGTCACACCAACAGCATCTCACGATCTCCAAATAATCTTAAATACATTCTTATGTAGGATAAAATAAAGTAATAAGAAAGCTATCGACTTTTATCATAAATTGATAGATATTTAATACAGCTGATGGAATAGAACGTTCTCTAATTAACTGCATTGAATCTTTTTATTTTATTAAAAGAACAAATAGTACACTTAGTATTTTGAACATGCAGCAAGTGATGAAATTTGCACTCAGTGGTCATTACCAAGAACCCATTGTTTGATAGATACCTATTTCGCCATCTTTTGTGCTTGGGCCCATAGAACTCATGGATTCCACAGAAATCAACCAGGGTATTAGGCAGACCAGAATGATAGGTAATTATCAAACAATAGGTTTTGTCATAACGCAGACCACAGGAGGAAATCTCACCATTACTAAAATCACTTTAAAGATAAATTGTGTCGATTGTGATTTGAACTTTCATTGTTCTTGTGTTAACCTAGATTAGATTAAATAGGAGCCGGCCTCTTTTCTGCCTGTGCACACCAGTGTTGGTCTATTGTGCATCTCTATTTTTTTATCTAGAGCTCCTCGGTAAGCTTCAGGCTTTTTACCAGACCCCAAAGCTTTTTCAAGGGCTGTGCATCAGGCCATTGCTTTTCCTCTCAGGACTAGGACTCTCAGCCTACATAAGCCTTCACACCAACAGAGGACGTGTTCCGCTATTTCTTCTTCTGCACAGGCTTGTTTCTGCCACTTTGAGTCGACACATATGCCTCTGGAGTCTGCAGGGTCCAGTAAGCAGTACAACTATCATTCTAGTCATAGCGTCCTAGATTTAGTAGTTCTGCAGTTCGTTTTTGCGATGGTCCTTTGTTAAACGTTTCGCATGCCTGGGACCTGGGCTAGACTTAAAAGGGTTCAGGGCCAATAGGTATCCTCATTGAACTTTCCCTGGCCAATTTATATCTTCGTTGCCCACCCGCCCAGTGTGCCCTGGCACCCAGACAAGGGTAATTTCCTAAACGTCTCTGGACTTTACCGTCGTTGCGGCAGTTGCCTTCAGGTCCGCCTGGCTTTTCGATTAGACGGCTATTCTTCTATTGACATTCCCTAGCCTTTTTATCTCTTTGGCATAATGTTCAATAGCCACAGTTTCCGCTTGAAAAATGGTGTCGTATTGATCAAGGCTTACATGAATTCTAGACCTGGTTTATTTCCATAAATGCCAGCTCCTGACCCATATTCGGTTTTCCCCGACCCCTTTCTCCCAGTCTGCTCTACAGGGTATTTTGATTAGAAATTTTTTCTCAAAACTGAATTTAGGGGTCATGGCATCAGTATCAGTAGGCATCCCCAAAGTTCTGTTTAGCTGAAGCTCCCCTCGAACTTGTTGCTCCTTGTTATGTGAGTAAGCTATTGGAGTCTGGTTCGAATCCTGCTCATGACACTAGCTTTTTCATGTCAAATAAGATCTTAGATATAAAATATAATTAATTGAAATAGTTTATGTTTACGTTGTAGCTTCATATTTTTTTGATTGCCTGAAAACTAAATAAAAGAACTATTCTTAAATACATTCTTATGTAGGATGAAATGAAGTAAAAAGAAAGCTATCAACCTTTGTTATGATTTGATAAATATTTAATACGGTTGATGCGATGAAATATATTGTACTTTACTACATTGAATTTGTTTTTTTATTTTATAAAAAGAGCAAAAAGGAATCACTTAGTATTTTGAACATGCTGTAAATGATGAAATTTGCATTGTGTGTTATGAACATAACCAAAAACGTATTTCGCTTGGGTCCTCAGAAATCACCAGGGATGATAGGCAGACCAGAATGATAGGCAACTATCAAACAGTAGGTTTTGTCATCACGTAGACCACAGGAGGAAATCTCACAATTACCAAAATCGCTTTAAAGATAAATTGTGTCGATTGTGATTTGAACTTTCATTGTTCTTGTGTTAAGTCAAGGGACTTACGGAAGGAAGAAACCGAGAACTCAAGGCGAAGTGTAACTGTTCAAAAGTGAAAAGTTGTTATGGATCTAATTAAGAAGGTACGAGCTGAATTATTTAATGGACTTGAGGAGGTTCCATCTTCATATCGGAAGTCAGTTGATTCACTTCACACTAAATTTGAAGAAATCTCTTGGAATTGAATAAATACGGGAGTTAACTGAAGGAACAACGGGAGATTGATGCTTTAAACAGTAAAAAACTCTCAACCGAAGCAAACCATAAATTAACATGATTTGTAAATTGATGCCTTGGATCAAAAATTTCTTGGCAACATTCTTGACATTAGAGGACTCACAAAGGACTTTCGTTTTTATAGAAAAAAATGTCTGTCTTTGGGTGATCCTATTAGAAAAGACGCGTTTATCGACCGTCATTTGCTGTTGAAGGCTCAGCCACTCCTTTAATTGTTGAATTTATGAAATCTTACTTATAAGGAATTCATTCTAACAAGAAACATTAAAAGTTCTTTCACTACGAGAATGAGGGTTTTAATACAGCCCACCTGGATATCTGAGACTCTCGCCAAGAAACGAAGAATCCTCATGTCCTGAGCAAGGGGAACATAATTATCAATTAATTAAGGTTTTTAGTTTAGATAAAAAAGTCAGTGTCACTAGCGGGATTCGAACCCCCGACCTTCGCCTTGATACGCCGCTGCTCTACCACCCAAGACATCGTGACTTCGATCCACTCGGACACCAACTTCCCATCTCACCCCCATCTTTTGAATTTTCCCTCCTTTTGCCATTTTTCAAATGTCGTGTAATCTATTTGATTCTCGGCGACAAATGAAATGGCCACGGAGAGCTTTAGTGAAGATATGCTTCATTTTATGTTATTAAATTCACTAAAAACCTTAATTAATTGAAAGATATTAATTGGTCAAGCGGACCACTAAAACTAGTGAATTTAATAATTATCAATATTTATGGACTAGAGGGGGTCTACTGAAATTAATTTTTTTTAAAATTGGAGTTCTAAAAACTAACATGCTTTATATTACGTAAGGTTAATTCTTTCATTTTTTGCGTACGCGTTTGTTTTTCTATTTTATGGTTTGTTTAGATATTATTTTCTTATTTGATTTCGTTATTATTTATAAAATGTAATTCCCTTTTGCTGAAAAATTTAATCATCTTATTTTTGGGAGCGACCGTGTAATATTTTTCATTTTTTATGTTTTACGGCTGACTTTTTGCAACAACGACTTGAATCCAATAATAGCTTAACTTGTTTTATTTGTGAGGATCTTAGACGTTGCCAATGAATAGTTAATTTTAATATTATAAGTTTGAATCATAATTTAGATGAATTTTTGGTGTTCTTTGATCAACTTATAACTTTTGACATTATCATTTGTCAGAAACTTGGTACTTTAATTTTTTAAATTATGAAGTTTAAAATTCCTGATTTCTTTTCAAAAATTAATGTTAATAAAGGTGAAGGAGAGTCTGTTTTTCTATCCAATCGTTTTGAGGTGACTGATGTTGGATTTAAAGTTATCCAACAGTCCAATAGAATAAATATAAAAATTGTTGACTTGGGAATACAAGGTACCATTTTCGCTTCCATTATTTTTTTCTATTATATATTAATTATCTTTTGGAAAGTAATAAAATGTCTGTAAAACATTTTAGCTATGCGATGATACTTGCTTAAATATCGATAGTTTATTTAAAACTATTACCAATATTCTGAAGTTGATTAAATTATGGTTAAATTCAAATTTCCTACTTCTAAACAATAATAAATGTAACGTTTTCTCACTAAACGAAAAAATAAACACAATTTCATTTTTCATAGTGGCAGAACATGTAGTTGTTCACCTATTCCTTCAGTACGTGGTACTAATTACTTAAGTACTTGGGTATAACATTAAATTCAAATTTAATATTCAAATTACACATTGACTCCTTATTTTCCCAATTAAGAAAACTTTTTTTTATATAAATCTAGAGTTTTGAGCAATTTTATGAATTTAGTATTGTTACACACAATATTGCTCATTCTATAACTTATGGCATTGCCTCATGGGGGGGGGGGGGAATAGTAATTGTTTCATTAATCCTTTAGTTGTAACTCAAAACTCACTTGTAAAAATTATGTAAACCATGATGTAAACCATCCATATAATGATTTTAAGGTAATGAAATTTAACCAGTTATTTTTTAAATGTTCATGCCAGTATGTGCATGAATATAAATTCACTACTTTTGCATCTTGTGCTAAATATCTCACAAGACAAAAATCATCTGTTATTCTGACTTTTGTTAATAATGACAATTTTAAGAGTAATTTATCTTTTTAATTTGTGGCTTTTGTTAAAAAACGATTCCATATATTTTTTAATTTGTTTTTTCACCATCATTAGCATCTGCATTTTTAAAAGACAAGAAAAACAAGAATATTAGTATTTTACATTTTATTATAAGGTTTACCTTTCTAAACAAAATATTAAATTTTTTGTTATAGGTATATAGATTCTTTTAAAAGAACTACATACATAAAATTTCCCCTTAAGGAACATTATATCAAAAATTGATAGGCAGTGAAACGGCAAAAAACTTTACTTTCTATAAAACTTTAAAAAAACCAAATGACAGTTTCTAGCAATATATCGATATCAGTGATAATGTATAACGTCGGGTTGTTTCTTGTCTTTTCAGTCTTGTGTAGGGATTTCAAGTCAGTTTATCAAGTAATAGATAAGTATGTAAGTTTATCCATGAAAAGTCCATGATCATGTACCAGGTCAATGGTAGGCAATAGGGTACTTTTGCACAGGGTTAAATTTATCTGTACGCTTTTCTTTAGATTGATTTTCATTCTCCACTTTGTGAACCGTACAAGTTAATTCATTCAGGTCTTGTTGTACTGTTGAGTGTTTATGGAGGTGTTCGAATTACGTGAAAGAATCGCTATATCATCAGCGAAAGTGTAGGAATATCTGTCGTGTATATTGAAAATAGAAATGGGCCAAGTATGTTTCCCTGAGGAACACCCGCCCTAATGCGTATATAAGGTGAGAAGTTTCCTGACTCACTCGAAAAAATCTGTCCCTTGAAAAGATCTCAGTATGAGATAGTACATATGAGGGATGCTGTTCCTCATTTTCCAAAGCAAGTCTGTTCTAAAATCAAGAATTATAATTAAAAAGAAAACAATTAACAATCTAATTATTTTGAATGACGTATCATCAGCGATGATGACTAGTAGATATGATATAATGATTTGTAAAGAACTACTGAATACGTCTGCGGAAACGCTTGAAAAAGGTTATTAACTATTTTCTGGAGTCGGTTGAAACAGGAATGTATAAGGTAATCATTAGGAATGATGAAAATGGAAGAATGTCCGAAAATGTCTAACAGTCGCAATACCAAATACTGCCACTAATTACTAGTACATATAAAATCATGAGTCAACAGTATATGTTTTCAACATCGGAACTCTTCTTTTTGAATAATCTAGTTCAGGAAGGAATACCGGGGTGAAAAATTTCAGGGCGATGAAGGAAGATAAGAGGCAAATCGATTAAACTGGAGCGTGAGAGGGGAATGTATTTGTGGAAGAGTCTAGCTGGAATTGGAAGGATCTCAAGGAGCGGGGAGGGCAAGAGGAAGGGTCTTCACCAATGGGGTAGCAGAAGGCGGCCCGATTCGCCAGCTCTGGAAATGGGAGGATCACCTAGGAGGATTTCCTGTTCAGTCGTTCCCATGCCATTCTCGCGAGCGCTCATGCCGACCACGAGGAACGAAATGACGCGAGATCTGTGAAAGTGCCGTGCCGTCACTGCCTGATTTTACGCGGCGACAACTTTTCGGTGTGCCATTTTGAACTCTTTTCCCTCCTTAGTCTGGATTAAAGTCAAACTGGCGGCGAACAACCCCAACCATACCATGTTCACCCGGTAAGTCCGTCTAGAATTTCTCTTGTGATCCACCGTTCAAATCACTTTCGACAAGACACGTGAAATTCATCAACATTTGATTTTATATAAAATGGGTGGTTTATAGGCCGACAATCAACTTAGGTCATCACCAGCCCTCCTTTTCTTCTTTTTCTCGTCTTTTACACGTTTTTTGTATTAAACTGTAGCCATTTGTCCGCTTCGATCTGGTCACTGATTCTCTGCTTTTATATGTCCTAAAATGCTAATTTCTCATTTGTAACTCAGGTTGTCAATTAAAAAATAAACAATTAACTAAACACACAATCATCACCACAAATATAGCAATCTGGTCAGATTCACTCCCCCAGAGTACTCGACATTTATTTCTCAGGGCGGGATTGAACCCACACCATTCTCGCTAATAATTTACTTTTACTCTCCAGACACTCACTATTAGTAATATTTATGATCTCTATTTTGTTCATTGTTTGATAAAGACTCGACTGTGGAGTTAACCTGAAAATGTTTTCCGTTATTCAAATTATCGAATGTGTTCATTTACCAGAAAAAAGTTCTTATCCGTTATCAAGTCGTTCTGCTTTTTTAACAACATCGGTTCATCAATTTTCGATGATGTGATCGTACTTTGTTATTCACATGTTTATGTTTGTACTTCTAATTGGATTTTTTTTCTTTTTTTAAAAGCTACGACCTTACTGGTCCTTTTTTTATGTCTGTACAGTGAAATTTTCAGAACAGGAACATACCATTTTAAATTTAATAAATTAGTGTGTATGGAAATTTCGAGGAACTTTACTATTTAAAAAAAAATTTTACATCCTTGTATCATAACAAATTAAGTATTTATTCTTATTTTGTCTTTGCCTTTTACTTAATTTGCGAAATTTAAATTAAATTTGTAAAAAAAGTTAGTTTTGTGAATTGTATATGTAAATATATTTGTCAAATAAAATGCTACCTACCTTACATAATATAGTATTTTAAAATATAGTAGGTTTTTTTATATATATGAAAATATAAAGTTGATTACCAATGTGGAAATGTTTAGTTTTACTAACTGGAATTTCTGAAATTCTGTTACTTCATTTATGGAAAGTAAACTCATAAAACAGCCATGGGTTAGTGGAGACTTTAACGGTGGTGTCTATCAGATCATAATTATGAGCGACTGAAATATAGCACACATATTTCCATAATCCGTTTAGGAAAAATGTTACATACGTAATAATAAGTACTATATATCTGTTAAGAGTTATTATGAAATTATTGTTTATTACTTGAGAACAATCGTCTATGGATTTTTTAAAATTCAGAATGTTTACAAATATGGTGTGGTATATGGCATGTTGCAGTTCATTACGATATGACAAACGCAATAATATTTCATACAACTTATATATTTTCGGTTGTAGATAATTTATTTGAAAAAATAATAATCATAAAACTTTAGTAAAATCTTATAGTTATACAATTTATAATTTTTACAATTTTACAACTTAAACAAAAACTAAAAAAACTGTATAAAGTGGCAAAACTAAAACGTAATAATCCTAATTAGAAAATATTCCCAGGTTGATTTAAAAAAAAAATATTGTACATAAAAAGCAAACGGATTTAAAACAAAGACGGTGCAAAGGCGCTTACATCCGATAACCATTCAAATCTCTAGGCGTCTTGGGCGTACTTAGTTAAGGGACTTCAGTCTGTCGAGGTTTGAAATGGAAGAATATTTTCCCTCAGGAGGTTTTTCTTGCCGCAATAAGAGAAGCTCTTACCTCCCTGAGTTTGGACATACAGCTAAGAAATTATAAGAATCCTCTCTTATATTTAAATAACAGTACATTTCAACATTCGAGTCCTTTTCTAGCCATGGCTTGTAATTCAGACAGTGATTCGCCCCGGAGTTTAAAAAAAAGTCTTAACTCAACCAGATTAAGATTCTCTTGTACCACTGGTTTGTGATGGCCTTTTATAATCTGACATCTTATACGATGAAAACCGATCAGAAGTTGTTGCAAGCTGTATTCACTTTTCATGGGAAACGATACTTAGTTTAGAAGGCAGTGATGCCGTATAATTGATCACCCCATAAAGGTTCCGGTTTGATTAGTCGTTTCCGATATTGTCTACCCTGTCATCTTCATCACTCGGTAGACAAAAGGAATCTCAATTTGACGCCGTTGTTGATATTTTCTACGAAAGACATTAAAATTATAAGTATAGAACGCTAGACATGTTGCAAATAGACGTATTATTTTCATCTCAAATAATTATCAGTTTATCAAAGATGCACACTTTTTTCAGAGGACAGATTTACAGTAAAAACATGTCTATGAAAAAATATCCAATCAAATGTATACCATTTAATAGCGTTGACAATGATTTATAGTTTTTTCCACCATATAACGTTTTACTGCAGAATCTCTTCTTTGTCTCTTCCATCTTTGTGAAAAATTTGTGGATCGCTTCTGGAACTGTTGCTGTTGTAGTTTATCGTTTTCAATCATCCTGGTCCGCGTATTCAGACAGATTGTAGTTGACGAAATGACGAAACGCGCCTGACAGACAAAACTAGTGATAGAATGCAGACAGGGATGATCGGAAACGATAAAGCTACTTTCTATCTTTGTTAAATAGAACTTTCCCGAGTTACTCTCCCGAACTTAGAGTTACTTCTTTTAAAGTTAACGTGTCTTCTGATACCTGCTGGATTACAAAGGTGTTGATAGGAAAGTAACTATAAAGAGAATGTTTGAGAAAGTTCATAATATAAATCCCAGACCTTAGAAACCCCTAGATGATTGTTGTATTTAAATACCATAAGTAGTTCTGAAGGTTTTGATCATCTTCATCTCTCTCTCTCTTTCTCTTTCTCTTTCTCTCTCTCTCTCTCTCTCTCTTTCTCTCTCTCTCTTTTGTATGTGTGTGATTTTATTTTGACCTACTCCAATTATTATCTTATTTTAACAGTTTATTGTATTGTGAGATTTCCTCTAGTGGTTTGCGGGTTGATAAACCTATTATTGTTTGATGGTTACCTATCATCTTGGGCTGCCTATCCTGGGTGATTTCTGTGGACCCCGAGCAAAGAAGATGGCAATAGTCGAATCGCTCTGGGTGGAAAAATCAGCTAGGATAGGCAGACCAAGATGACAGCTGACTATCGAACAATAAGTTTATTTTATTTATTACTACCCTCTAAACAATCTTTCACTCTGAAATTATGTGCCTCCTTAACTCTTCCAAAATGACGGAGTCTTTTGTCAAATGAGACAGGCAATAAGCTATTTTGCGCTGTTTCTTTAGCGTATTGTTTTGCGCTTTCATTCCTGCCTCCGAGGCACCAACATTCGACATATCGACCATAGTTTTGCAGGATGCTGTCAGTCACATGGCTTCTTAGATTTTCGATTTTGTGGGCTGTCACTTGGTAGTGTTATTTTTCTACTTTACACTTTAGTACGTTAGCCAATTTTCTTGGTACGATCTTCAACGATTGCCAGTAACTCTGCTTGGCTGTTCGAACATTGTTCTACCTTCCTATATTGCTTGCCATAAATTGGTTCTTGTACGACTCTTGTACTACCATTGCGCACCCCAATTTCAAGTTTACTGCTATCTGTAAATATATTGAAGTTTTTCATTTTCCGTGTGATATCGTATGTCAGTTATTCGAGCAAAATATGGTGTAACAAAAATGAGGTGGTTTATGGTACAATTTATTGAATGCATGTCATATTGAGGTTCGCCCGTTATTGTCCAAACGACCTGAAACTAAATCGATATCTCCTGGATTCTTAATCTTTCTTAACTTCAAAATCTGAGTGTTAATAACGTTTCTTAAGTGTATTTTATTAATAAAAAACATATAAAACTTTTATAAATTAATGTATAAAAATAATAATAGAAAAGGTATGCTATTAATATAACTTTGTAGCAAACTGGTGCTGCTTACGTTAAAATGGTGTAAAATATAATAGTTCCTTTATAAATGTTTTCACTGTTTTAATAGGCAATGTACAGTGTACTTTTGCAGATCTTACTAACATATTTATTAATTGGGCTGCTTTATTACATATATTCAACTTCGATAAATACAATTTGATTGCACCATTTCAACCTTTATTCGAATATAAAATTCAAGTATTTCACTGTTTTTACTTCTCGTTTTACATTACAAATTGACGTGAATTCTTGCATTTTATTGTCCTATGTGAAGGATGTTTGGTCCTTTTTTAATTGAACGTTAAATTATTTGTGGCTGACCAATCTTTTGTTAGGTAGAGGTTGCCATAGTCAACCTTTCCAGGTCATCATCACAACGTTGATAAGAGGTTGCTAATGAAGTAACTTATTAGTACTGCATGGGTCATCCGCGTTTCCATTCAGTTAATAGCCTACTGAAGCTGTGTATAAAATGGGTCTTCTTTCTTTCTGTGAAACAGTATTGTGACATGGGGTAGAGATTTTTAGAGCAGCCTATTATTTTTAAATTGTGAGATTTCTCTGTCTTGTTTGTGGGACGATGAACCTGTAATTTGGTCGTTACCGATCTTTTCCTCCCTGGCTATTATTTTCAGTCGATTTAGAATCGATGGCCACCGGCCTGGCCTGCACCTTGAAATGCTCTGTCAATATATTTATTTTTATTGCTTTGAAGAGGCGTTAATTCAAATTTCCTTTCGGTTCATTCATTGGAAGCAGCATTCCATAGTCATTGGAAGTAGACTTGTAATAGTTCCACATTTTAACGGATTCTTCATTTCGTCCTTATCAAGCTTCACGAGAAGACGAGATTTTTCCATACTGATATCACTTTCTTAGATATTAAAACATCTTTATTCAATTTATTTTATTATTGCTATTCGTACAAAATAAATATACATTGAGCACTTAGTATAGTTAACTACAAATCTTGGTCGAGACAATGAGGTCTCGACGTCATCGTTGTTAGGCGGCGTATGCGATATACGGGTGGGAAGTTGAAGAATGGGTTT